ATTAACGTTTCCTTTTGTTATAACCAAAACTAAATTCTTTGTATTTTCTTAGCGTTCGTTTTTTTTTTTTTTGGAAATTCTCAATTCCAAATTCATTAACTCCATTGTAAACTCAATAGAATAGTTCGTGCGAGATGAAAAAAACTATCACAATTAACAAGACTGTGCTACAGAGCCAGGGGTTTATCAACTAAAGCAGGGGTTTTATGCCACATAATATATATAAATTTTAAGGTTATTATTCAAGAATTAGTTGTTGGTTCAGTGGTTTGGATGAGGTTTCCAATCTTGCTAGTGCCATTAATGACTTTCTGCATCAATTATATTTAAAATTTTAGTACTTTTCGGATATTTTAATATTAATTTTTTATCATCAATCTATATATATAAAGTTAACTTTTTCTCTCTTCTCATGATTCCACCTAAGCATCCACATAAACAACATTTTTTCTACATTAAAATAAATTTAAAACATTCATTTAGTGCATATTTATACTACTTATTTAATTAATAGAAAATTTATATAAATAAAAATAAATTGTGTAAATAAATGAAATGTTAAATAAGAAATACTTTCATTTTATATTAGTTAGTGGTAATAATATAATTCAACTTTCATTTTAAATTGATCATAGTTTAAAATTTTAAATGTGTTACTGACTTTAAGAATGTAAGTAAATTTTCAATTTATGGTAGAATAAAAACAACATTTATGTAATTGTACATATAAAATGTTAAAGGGGAAAAAATTGAAAGTGAAATATTAGTTTATAACATGATGAAAAAGAAAATGATTTTAATCCAAATTTAAATATTGAAAGATAATAATTCAAGAGAAAATAACAATAATATGTTTTGAAAATCAATTAAAAATAAATAAAATATCACAATATGAATAAAAAATTTTAAAAATATATATAAATCTCCCGCGCGCAGCGCGGGTCAACTGCTAGTACATTTATATAAGAAAGCCACATTTTTCTAATATGCTTTAAGCCACCTATCGGCTAGGACCGGCCCTGTACAGAGCTAGTGACATGGTTATTGTGATGATATTGATGAACTTAACTGAAGTTTCATTTTCTAGTGCAATAAAAGAAGACAACAAAATAAAACATTTATGGTTAGGACTGAAGGACTTGGGATCTACAAAACGAAGTTGGAAGGCGATATCAAATCTTTTAGGTTATTTTTAAAAAGTTTTTGGGTGTTTTAGTTATAAAATGTAAAACAAAGTTTTTAATGCAAGTTACCGAAAAATTATATAATTGTGTTTTTTTTTTTTCCTTTTATATTTACTGGAATTTCTCGCGTTATTGATTCTTTAAAATATTTGGGTTTTTTAAAATCCAAACCACAAAATTTGTCAATTTGTTCTAGTTATGCCTAGTGTTGTGTAAGTTTGCAAGGTATGCATGGCGAGTGAGTGGTACTGCACAAAGTCTTGGTCGGTAATTATATAATTATTGGATTCTTAAGGAAATCAAGAAAAGTAATGAAACCTTGAAATGGGGATTCTAGGTTGTCTCTTGATTATTCACTTTCTAGATTCGCGGAAGAAAAAGACAATGGAAACGAAATGTGTGTATAGGTTATAACGGATGTCTTACTTGTACCATAGGGAGTGGTCTGTGGAATGCTATTGGGGGGATGGTTTCTATCATGGAAACTAGTCAGTCAAAAAGATCCAACGAAAGCTCGTCCGTACATGATATATATACTTAATATTCACTTGGTCTCGTACGAGGAAATTATATTAACACCAACCAATATAGTAAGAAAGGACAAGCTAATAGGGACAAAGTTAAAAGTTCATGAGTGTGGTGGACTCCAATAACAAGCAGTAGAAAACGATAAGGTATACCGTGTTGTACAATAGCTGCAAAGCATTTACGTATAAGAGTAAAAAGTGTGTGACCCTATGATTGTAACAAACAACCATTCGTTTCTTGGCAGTTGGCATGCATAGTTCACCTTCTCCATCAAACCCATTTTTAGTCTACAAGGACTATTTTCATGTGAAGTCCTAATTTGGTTGGATCTTCTGGTTCGGATAGCTCATCAGCACCAAGTAGCTAGCAATACTTAGTCCAAGAGATGTAGAAAAGAATTCACACGTACGTCCCAAGTAGTCCAAACGAAACGATTTAGGTCGCAGTTGGAATCAAACTATAAGGGTCAGAGGAGTACAATATTTCTTCACCTAGATCTTGGCCTAACAACTAATACTGTATCACATCGCCTTGGTTTCTCAATGGCTTTTGATTACTTCTGAAGTGGTGACTGGGAAAGAAAAAAAAAAAAGTTAGTTCCTTGAAACGAGTTAAGATGATTTTTGGAAAGATATGAACAGAATTGGTCCTTGTCAATTCGAAGCGCATGGGAAAATAATCCGACGAATGAGAAGATAGAAGATTCTTATAGTACGGGCGACGGGACGAGACGCTGGTGCTTAAATAAGTCAGGACCCTCCTCTGTTGAGTTGAGAACCATTCAAACAATAATAATTCATATATTAACTGTTTCAGTCAGCTAGGCCACAAGCGAGGCCCAATTAATGTTGAAATCAGAAGAAACTGCTGTATGTCCTTTTTTTCCCCATAAAAATTTCTAATGGTTTAGTAAAGTTTACACTAAACCGACTAAAGGTATAATCAAGTAAATGCGGATAAATGTCTGATTCTAGAAGAAGCATATCACTCAACCAAAAAGGAGTTCACAAGTTGTAGGGGGAATAGCGAAACTTTGTATTATCGTACGTAATCAACATAGCAATGGATAGAGTACGACCAAAACATCTTCCTCTGGTTTAGAGAGAAATCGACCAAAACGACCATAGTAATGAGTTTGAGCTACGGGAGTTCTTCATTCAGTTCCTTATGGGCTTTTCATTTTCTAAGCCCACCAAATTACAGTAAACCAACAGCCCATTAAACATCCAGACTCCAGACCATAGTTCATTTCTCTGCTAGACGCTTTCTCTCTTTGGCCACTATAGAGTTCATACATTGGCTACAAATCATGTGAACTAGTCTGAGATCGAAGATGAGATTCCTGCATCAATCTATATTAAAAAAAAAACATTCTAGAAATGCATGTAATTAGTTACGTAAAGGGAAAATGTTAAGCCGATCGATTGAACTAAAAAATTGGTTGAAATTTGAAATTGAGCAAATAATAGTGAGACAAGACAAGTCCTAGTAAATGCAATGACATGGAAGAGATCTCTGCATTAAACATGTGCGCCAAGCTATTAACTACCTAAGAAACAAAAGGTTACGTACCCACCAAATTGTAAGAATATTCTTCTAGTTTGTAAAAATCTAGACAACCTTGCCTTCTCTTAGATTTGTGAAGTTCAAAAACTTGAAAGCCCCAAAAGATACATGAAGTGTGCATGGTTGGAATCATACTGTAATACTCAAGCTGTCTGTTCTCAAATAGATTGCGTGGCTTAATATATACCATCATCATCATCTCACCTTGCATTAATTCACTACATAGTACAGTTTATACACTTAAATTATTACTGTCACGTTTTCAAATTATTTGTCTGTCACTACCCTCTGCTCGGTTACCAATGCAATATGGAAATAAAAGTTGCAGCATTGCTTCTGATGATAGCTCTATCGGGTCAGGAACCAAATACATGAGATCTAAATAAAGATACAAAATTTGGATTTTAGCTGGTGCAAACTGAAAAAAGATTTTGTTATACAACCTCTTTTTTCTTCTTTTGTCAGTCCATGCATTTTTCACCTTCCACTTGCCATTATACGTTAGAGGTGAGATAACAAAAGAAGACTAAAAGACAAGCTTCATTTGTCTTAACAGAAATGGCAAGAGAATGGGACAACGGAGGAAGATCCATTTGTTCCTCTAAAAGCAAGAAAAAACCCTATGAAGCTAGTGGCTGCATCGCTGCTCTTTACCACTTTTTTCATTTCCACCATTTTTACCTTCCTTCACGTGACCATCACCACCAATCTAGTATTGATTCTCCTTCCAGAAATCCTAAAGGTACTTTCCCTTCTCTATAGATAAAGGAGCTGGGAGTTTTCTGCAAGACAGTTCGCTAACAGATATGAATGTTATGTTACTGAAACTTTCAGGATTGGTGGCGCCACGAAACAGCTTGGATTTAACAGAGGAGTCTCCATTATCAAGAAACTACAAGCTGGAAAAAGAAGTCTTGAACATCCATGTAAGTCAACACTGATGAGTTCATTACATTTGAAGTGACTTGATTGATGGAACCAACTGAGAATTCAGATGCAGGTGGGCGGGAAAGAGTCAACACTTAGAGCACTTCTCGTTGATAGATCCTCTAGTTACTGCAACTCACCTCGCACCAAGACACCAAACGTGGTGGCTAGACTCATGGGTCTTGATCTTCTCCCGGACAACTTAGACCTTAAGAGATCACCAAGGATTGGAGTAAGAACACATAGACCCTCCAGGAATGGCTCAGGGACAAGATCGTTACCTGTGAGCCCTAGAATCTCCTCTGATTCCGACAATCGTCGCCTCTCTCTTCAGCTAAACAGAGAGAATAAGCAAGAAGAGTCTGCCCGTTGGAGGTTGAAAGAGTTGAAACAAGATGCAAGTCCAAGTCCCAGACAAAATGGGAAGCAGATAAAAGAGAGTGCCACCACCAGAAAATTTGGTATGGATATAACAAATGTGCTTGAGAATACAAGTGCAGGAGCAGCACAAGACAAGATTGAGCATAGCAGGTGTTCACAGAAAGAGAACAAAGCAAGCACTAATCCCACATTGGTGATAAGAAAATATCACATCTCTCAGCAACCAACAAAGGTGACCCTTTCAAAAGGAGTAAACGAATCAAAATGCTCTCCTCATCCAACACCCAAAACTCGAAATAAGCAGAGAAAGGCAACATACGTGAAGTCTGATAGCAGTGATCCTTTAGAGAAGCAGAAATGCAAGAAAATCTCAAATTCAAATGAAACTAGTGTCAACATCTCCGTAGCATCATCAGCTTTCTCTGCCACAGAACATCCTCGGAAACAGGTAAACACTTTGTAAACTTTTCTACGGTATGTTTTAGTTAGTCTCATTGAGGCAATAACACAAACACTTGATAGGCATTCTTACTAACTGATTTTTTTATTAATATCTTGCAGATAAAAAGAGCCGCAGAACCAGAGCGGAAGGCAGATGCGACGATATGCTCTGTTCAGATGTACAAACTCGAGAGGAAGGTTCCTCGAGAACCGCCAAGATCCAATTTTTACGACTCGACCACCATTTCTGCCTACTTAGCGAACGCAAGAGGCACCGTTGCGGAGACCAAGAAACTTGAAGAGGAAGAGGAAAGGGTCGTCGCAGAGATTGAGCGGCATATCGTATACGGCCTCGTGCATGAAACGGTGGAAACGTTGTCGTTGCGGGTTTAAACGCAAACGCAAACGCAAGCGCAAACGCTATTAGATGTGCGGATTAACACCGATAATAACACAACGTCTGCGTTTTAACACGTCTAGGGAGAGGGATTCAAAGCAATGTGCGTTTTACATCTCGCTCCATTACTAATACATGCATGTACCCTAGTTAAAATATCGAAGGATTTAGTTAAGTTTAATTGTTGTAACCAAATCCATAATTCGAATTTTCATATAAAACTGTTATCCCAGAAAGTGTTATCTCTCTATCTTTTGATTCCAGCTGCTGAAGTCAATTTTGAATCCAATTCATAATTAATAGAATAACCAAGTTTATGGTCATTTATGAAGGTGTGAACTATTTAGCGGTCAAAACTATTAAATGTATGGAGTTAATGGCTCAATCGTACATTCGTACGCAAAACTTCTTGGTCTGTGGAGTTATATAAAACTATGATATCGACAATAATGTTATAAAGTTTGACTATAACATTATTATGATTATTAACAAATCTCAAAACGTTCCACCAAGGTTAAAAAAAAAAACACAGCTTTAAGAGGAAGAAAAAAAAGAGAGACATATAGTTGAGAAATCTTTTATACACTAATTTTATTCTAGAAATTTACGCATAGATATAGAAATCGAATTAAAAACATTCTGAAGTAGTAATTATTAATATACACACTTGGATAAATCATAGCACTCGTCAGCTTTCAGGCAATCCAATGAACAAATCAGTTTTGACATCAGATATGTCCATGTTTCCACTACCACAAGACGCTGCACTCTTGTGATCACTCTCTTGAACGTTTCTCGGCTGCATCCACAAGGGCTTTTCTTCGAACTGAAATGTCACAAATTATTTTTCCTAAATTCGATACATGGGAGAAGAAGAGAAACAATAAGAGACGGAAACAAAAAAGTTTTTGATGTTTTTGTCCATGTAGTGCAAATCCTAGCCGATACATCTATTATCTAAAAATATGATATAGTAATGTACATGAATTAGATCCTAAACCCAACAAAAATTCAATACATACGATTTATAGTGGTTCATCCTCGGCAGGAGAGTCACATCTATTTTCTTTCGCTTGCCCTGATTTTAGTGCAGTTAAATTTGGAGCTCCTATAAACCTTTTTTTTCTCTTATCACTCTTTGGCTCCCTCTAAACTAAGAGAAACAATTACTGTACGAAAGTAATATAAAAGGGAGAAATTCTAGGACACAAAATATTCAGTAGGCCTAAATTATATGAATTATCTCTACTTGTTTTAATGAAAATAAAGAGTGTACACTACAATTCAACAACTTAAAAAGTGTATGCTTGTTCAATAATTGATATATGCATGCCACAGATTATATATATGTGTGTACCATTTGATGCAGCTTACTTCTCTCGTTCAAGACACCTTTCCCTCCTGCAATCTAATGGAGTAAAATGAACAAAATTTACAAGGGAAATGACGTAAAAAAGTCCATACCTCAGCCCTTCAATTCTAATAATAAAACTAATTACTAGTACCTCAGCTCTTAGTTTCTCTATCTTATCTTCATTTAACTTAGCCTGCCAAATCATGCATTGAATCCGGATTTAGCAAATACACAAGGCACAAAACGAAATTACATTGTGGTTGGCTGGTTGGATAGCTAATCATTTCGATTTAAAATTTTCACAATAAGACAAATCCTTTTAGAAAATCCCAAGTATAGGACCACTATTGTTCAACGCATTATGTAAACATATATAATAGAGATTGTAATGAGGATAAAGTTTTCTTTATCCTCGTTATCAATCATCTGTTTAATTGTACCTTTCTTGATCTGACAATAGTAAGGCTTTTCTCAATTTGGATAGTTAGCTCCTTGAGTTCCTCCACCGAACACGAATCCAAATCTTGCCCCATCACCCTCCTTAAGATGGTTTCGGCCGGTGTGCATATACAGTCATATATATGTTGCATATCAAGATAACATATGCAGTAGATTTTTAAAAAGTCACACAAAATACCGGCAATGAAGTTGTAGATGATCGATTTTGTTCACCATGATTGCCATTTCCCTCTTGAGCTCCTGCACATATTGCTCTTTTTGGAGTCTCTCTGCCGCAAAAGACTCTCTCCTATATATCTCATATCGTTCCATTATCTTCGTCATGCTGAGTACAATTTTCAAGAATATCTTCATCATTTATTAGTGTATATATATATATAATTTATTATAGCATATATATCAATTTCTGAAAGTGTTATCATAATCAACATTAACATTCACATATGTGCAAATTTTTTTATATGCATATTTGTGCATACATAAACTAAATTAGGCACGTTTGACCGATCTGATGCACGACTAATATTGTGATGAGAACTCAAAAGTTTCCAAGGTGGGATCAGATGATGTACATCTTAATTAAGTTTTTTTTTTGTTTAAGTTTTTAAACCTAACTGATAGTAATTGTTAAACATACGATATGAGAGATCTTAACATGCAAATATATATCTTTTAATTTGTGTGACTTGATTTATTGTAATCAATGATAGTTATAGCATGACCTATTTGTTAGAACAGTCCAAATTAACTCAATAGCAAAAGCATTCCATTTTATGCTATATGATGTACAAACGCCTATAACTATAGTAATAACAGTCTGGTTTAAGTGGTCAAAACTAATCTATTGGTACGCTTTAAATTATTAATGAAACCGAATGTTCTACCATAAATTCACTAAAATACTTAGGTAATGAAACGAACGTTTGAGATAGGGGAAGAAGCCATTAGTTAACCAAGTGAGTATATTATATGATGTTACATGATGAGCAATGGTGGGTTTGATATCATTAGTTGCACACTTGGTCTCTGTAGCATCATATATCATCATATATTGACGATTTAAGATCTTTGGATTTGGTGTAAGAAATTCATTTGCCTCTAAATCCATCAACACACACTCAAGAGTCCTGAAAACTATCTAGGGGTAAAGCTTGAGACCCTGACACAAAGCCACAAGGTCTTGTCTCAATACATCAATTGTACTCCTAAGGTGTTTTCCTTTTCTTAAAACTGTCCAATTGTACTCCTAAAGTGTTTATTTTTATGACATGATCACTGAGGTTTTTTCGTAGTTATAATAACATGTCAAGTGGTTTCAGCATGAGTTCCAAGGCATACTAGGTTCAAAGTTCAAGAGCGCTTTTTGGGAAAACCCTAAATCACTTGCTCGTGCTTGAAGAAGAACTTTATTAACTTAACAAACACATTTTAGTCAATTAATTTGATAAGGTTCTAATTCTTTAAATAAAAATCCGTGGTACTACAAAATAGCTATATGGCCAAAAAAATCAACTTACAAGAAAGAGCATATTTTGGAAAAACCAAATTCAGTGCTGCAAAATATATAGAAATGATCTAGTACGATTTGGAGAAAAAAAAAGAGAGATCAGAAATCTATATGGAGCAATTTCATATATATGCAAGTTTTAACCGTTAGCAAAGTATGCAAGAGCAAAAGATTCAAAGATATATGGAGCATATTATAAATGATCGTATATATAAGAATGAGTATTGGATTAAAAGATTTTAAAAAATGAAATAGTGGCTTACTCAGAGCTAGCGAAATCATATAGTCTTCCATTCTGAGAAAAGACAATGGCGGCGACTTGAGCATCGCACAGAATTGAAAGCTCGTGAGCTTTCTTCAAGAGACCTTTCCTACGCTTGGAGAACGTGACTTGTCTGCTGGTCACGTTCTCGATTCTTTTGATTTCGATCTTTCCTCTCACCATGGATCTTCCTGCCAAGATTAATTAATGTAAACCCTAAAGCTGAAAAATATAATTTTCTTTTAGACAGATGAAAACGAACTCACTTGGATCTCAATTGGTTTCTTGAAAACAGGAGGGAGATTTAAAGAGTAGATCAGCTCTAAACCCAAAAGTCAAGGTGATAACTTCCTCAGAAAATTTTGGAAAAATCTGAGAGAAAGAAAAAGAAACCCCACTAATTAAAACCCTTTTCCTAAATCTGCCAAGATTTGTTTCAAAGGCCTCCAATTAAGACCAAAACAATCCGACCAAGAAAATATGTAATAACACAATTTTTCACATGAAAAGAAAAGAAAGGGGAAAAAAAGCAAACAATAAAAATGTTGGAAAGAGAGACAATGAAAAATGAATGGGTCGCAAACTAGATCCCTCGATGATTTAGTGACTCTTTCGTCTACCTTTCCTTATGCAGCAGGTGACACAAACCCTAATTACTTTCATTAGTCTTGCTCTTCTTCTTTTTTTTCTCTCTCTCTCTCTCGCTCTCTATATGATTTTAATTAGTCTAAGGAAGGGGAAAAAAATTTAGTTAAGCTTCTGATTAATTAATTTTTAATGGGATTACTAGAGGGAGAGAAATAAAGTAAATGTAAATTACTCTATTATCAAATTCAACGGGATTCCAATTTAAATAATATTCTACTTCAACAAATCAAATGGGCCTGAGGACTGTTATAGTATCATACAATTTAAAGTCAATGTCAATCAGGTTTTTCCTTTCAATCAACAAAAACTTTTGAAAAGCAGATTTTGAAACCTTTAAAATAAAACTACCAGAAAACTACGGTATATATTTCCGATTGCTTCAATTCATATTTAATTGACATTTATTCATATTTTCAAATCATATGTTATGCGTTTTACATATATATATGATTATGTTGTCTTTTTTTTTTTTTTTTTTTTTTTGGTCAACAATGATTATGTTGTCTATAATTTAAGTATGATATCTCAAACAAATCCGGTTCGCAATGGACATCATCTCGTTAGGCTTTTCTTTTCCAGGACCATTTTTTTAAGAGTCTCACATAGCAGCATATGCCACATCATATCGCTGCCAACACACACACACACACACACACAAAAACTACCCACAGTCCCACACCATACTAAGGGCATGTCCAATGCAGGTCTCATAACTAGTATCTTAGAAATAAAAGGGAAAAAATTAAATCATTAACCAATAATAAACTAAGAGATATCTCTTATAGAAGAAGTTTTTAGACAATTTGTTAAGTACATGTGTCACTACAAGAGAAGTCAGTTCTATTAATTTACCAAATGAAGTTTTTAAATATTTTTTTTATTATGTTTTAATATCATGTGTTTGTAATAATTTTCATGTTTTATAAAATTTAAGTTTTCAAATTTTTTTTTAAGAACTTCTATTAAGAGTTTTACCATTGGAGATGAATAATTTTAATTATCTTTAAAAACTTTTAATTTTCAAAAAGTACACAATTTATAACTAAAAAATTACTAAAAAACTTTATTAACATACACCCATTGGAGGTGGTCTAATCACCCTTACATATAATTATCTTCAATCATTATAATCAGATAGAAACAACGTTACACAATAATCTTTGGGCTATGCCTTATCACGTCCTTGGGGGTGGCTAAAATATCGAATGCATCTATAGAAAACATCCAGGCTTGTTCCTTTGTTAGGTCGGTGCTTTTATTTTGTGCTTGTATCGAGCAAATCAAATTCACTTGCTAGGGGATATTGCTATAAGCGTCACTTGGTCAGTTGGTCTGTAGTTGGTCATTTGCAGTCTTACCATGCTGAGGCGACGGTTGGTTTTATAGTTGTTGGCTCTGTTTTCAGTTGCCTTTGTCTGACTCTGTTTTTTGAATTACGGTGCGTAGTACGTACTCTGTTTTTTATTTTTCAAATTCTTCGACTTTTATCCGTTTATGACAAGAACAAGTCCAAGAGTGAGTGTAGTTGTCCCAATGGATACGTATCGGTCTTTGTTTGTTTGTACCAAACATTTCAGTAACAAAAAGTTGCTCACTCATTCAAAAACCAAACAAGGAAAAGCTAATAGAAATAGAAAATGTAGAAAATGAAAGGGAAGATACATGTATATTATATATGTCTTGTAATCATAATGTACACAGAAACGGCGTCGTATGGAACTTGTTATTCAGGGAGGTTAATGTGGAGTTTAATGAGGAGACCTGGGAAGACATCATCCGGGTCATGGATATGCGGGTTACGCTCCACGATAAACGGGTCGCCGCACTTTTCGCTGATGCTGTGAAGCGTATCACCTTCACCTACTACGTATAACTCCTCACATGGCCTCTCCATCATTTGCTTCCCTCTCCATACCTCAAAGTTTCTTTCCCTCGCCGCCGCCGCCGTCCGGAAACTATCTCCGCTTCCTCCTCCGTGGCTGTTTTTAACCGAACCGGCCAGTGTTAGGACCAGCAGCGCCACCAGACAGTAACACGCGACTGTATGTGGCCTCGACACCGTAACTCTCATCATGACTGACGGAGACAGAAAGAGAGAGATAAGTTGTGATGGCAAAACAAACAAATGTGTATTTGTTCTTTATAATCAGACGTGAGGCTTGTGTTTATGTAACGAGAGAGAGATATTTTGTGAAGGCTACACACACACAAAGAAATGTGTTTTGTTCTTTCTCAAGCGTGAGGCTTGTGTTTATATATAGAGAACGTGGTGTACGTAGTACTAATAAGCCATCACTATCACCACCACTCGATCGTCAATTAAATTAATTCCCCCATTTTGGTCAGTTTATATAATAAATAAGAACATGTATGTTATTTTAAAATATAACTTTTTGATTCGTCTCGTGTTGAGAAATGGACCGTTAGATCTAAAATAAACTCGATCGATTGTGTGCATCTTAACATTTAATCTGGCTTCCGAAAATGATATTTTCTCATATTTGATGACTCATGAAAATAATTGGTTTTGACTGTTTGCATGTCTTGTATCTTTCTGAAATTATAAAAGACATATATTTGTAACAATGAATCTTTGTTATTGTACTTTTTGTGAAAATTAACAGCAGACAAAACAAAGCAAAAGACTAGACTGCATATCAACAAAATACAATGAACCTATGTTACAAATTTTTGCTTAAGGGTGTTAAATTTTGATAAACCGATATAATCCGGATAAAAACTGAATTCGAATCAAAGAAAAAAAATGAAGAAAACTGATCTAAATAAAATCCCTCATAAGTCACAATTTGTTACAAATTTTCAAGAGTTCTTTTTGTATTAATAAAAAATATATATATAATGTTGTCTTAGGAGAATTAAGAAGAAAAATATATATACAAGATTAGTCTCTTCTCAAGAAAATTATATAAAAGAAAACATTCTCTAGGAGGTCGGCAGTGTGGAGATACTTTCGGTTATACATATATTCTTTAGTATATCATTCAGAAGTAATAATGAGTATAGTATGAATGAATGAATTGACACAGCAAACACACGTAGGATGTGGGGTTCATCGGCCTCTTGCTCGTGTAACTGGCGCCGTATAAGTTCCCTAAGGTTTTTTGTGCTTGTGACTTCTGGAAATTTCTTTCTACTGAAAAAACAAAAAACTGAAATCTCTATGAAAGGAAAACAACAAAAATATACAAGAAATATTATTTTCTATTTTGGCTTAATGGGTCGGCCGACATATGACATTGACAAATAAAAACACCATATGCGTAATAAGAAAAACAAGAAATTCAGACCACTTTCTCTATCTCATTGGATATAACTGAAATAAGGGACGATAGGAACTAAATATGGTTGGGACAGTATATGGTGTTATGGTGGTTGATGATTCGTTATGTCGATGAGTCGATCCTATATATTTGCATTTTCTTTGCCACAATTAATGTCTTATCTATTTTATTTTCACAAAATCTTGATTTTCTATGAATTTTGGAATCAATCTAAATTTCGATTTGCGATTTTATGAACCTTGTATTATATTGTTGAGACATATATATAGACTTATGTTTTATATGCTATATATGTATTTAAATTGCTAGCCTTAAGGCTTTAGATGGTTTATATTTAATTTGTGTAATTATAATTTACAAAATTCTTTGTTACAATAAATAGATAGTAGAATTATCACTTTTGTCGTTAATTTTTTTTTACATATCTGTTTCTTTTTGACAATATATCAACTATTTCCACGAAAAAATTTAGTTCAAAACTGGAAGACAAGGCACATCAACATCAAATTTCCAGTTGTTAGAAAGAAAGAAAAAAATTGATAATACTGGAATAATAAAAATGAATGTACTCAAAACAAGTAAAATAGATGCCAGTCATATTTCTGGCCGGATACATCAGCATTCGAAGAGTTGAGAGTATCTAACATTAAGGAAAAATGGATGAAGGAGTCATATAGAGAGACAATAATGATTCATTTGAGTACAATCAAATACTTATATTCAAATAGATTTAGTATTTATTTACTTATTGTTTAGTGGATTTAGCCCCATCTCTTCTTACTCTGTGTGTTTTACTGTTTTTGTTTGTTGGAGAAGAAGAATTCAGCATCTCTTTTAGAGTACCAAATCTGAACCTCATGCATTTCTTTTGGCTCAGAAGATTATCTCTTAGTCATGACGATGTTTGAACTTGTATAATCTTGATAGGGAGTTCAATTAAGAAATAGAATTGTTCATTTCTTCTTGTTTATTCCAGTAGAGATAACCTAACTTGTCGTCAATGAAAGTTGTAATAGGTTTTGTGGAAAAACCAGTGTAGCTCTTTTCCATTTTCATTGAGCAAATGCGGTGAATTGCTTTGAAGAAATCGTTCTTGTGTGTGATAGGCTGACAGGCAGAGTCCTCGAACCGCATCCACTGCGCACATTCAAGAAAAAAAACAAGAACTGGGAAAGATTGCAACAAAAAAAAAATGTTTTAGATTCAGAGTAAGAAGTAGCGGTTGTTTTAACTTGAGCTGCTTCTATCTCTAAATCTTGCTTTTGAATATCGAAGGAGGTAGGTCGCAAGAGACAAACGAAGAATAAATCTGATTTGGCAAAAAATGACTCATGGGTTTGACTGCAACCACAAGGCTAAAAATATTATAACTTGTGCAAGTAATGTAGTATCAAGAATCAATGAAGCAGAGAGGATGTGATAATACGTACCAGAAAGCTAGAATTTCCAAAAACTCTGTGTCGATCTGAAAGATCAATAGATTGAAACATCATGTCTTTTAATTATATGATTACACATTCACATATCATTAAGATGTATGAATCTGCTTACCCCTGTTTCTTCTTTCACTTCTCTAATGGCTGCCGCAAAAATATCCTCACCCTATACGCAAAAAATAAAAATAAAAAAACGGATAGGTGAAAATAAAATCTTCAAAAACATATACAAAAAGAACTGAAATGAACACCTCATCAACAACTCCTGTTGGGATCTTCCAGACACCTGTTCCGCGTAACGTACCGTATTTTTCCTGCACAACAAGAATCTGCTTCTAGTTTCAATTTACGATGCAACACACTTAATTAGTTTTGGAACACCATGGACGTAAATACTTATACCACACGTCTCTTTGTTTGTATGCTAATTGTTTCTTTACGTTTTAAGTTTGTATCCGATGATGATTAATTAGTATATTATATATAACTTTGAAACGTAAGTAAAAATAATCGTGTCTTAAGTATACCTCCTTGTTATGGTTCAAGACAACAGCACCAACACAAACACGATGAGAAGCATTCAAAGGGATAGTACTCTCGGCTTCGGGAATCCAGTAAACTAGCATCAGGTAAGTCGGCTCAGCATGGTGGTACCGGAAGCCTTCCTGCACAAATTATCATCGCACCACAAACTCAAGAACCAACACAACACGCTCTCTCTCGAGTTCCATCTCCAAACTAATTGGTAACGAGAATCCTTAGAACATCTAACATAAAGTGACTTAATATGCAAGACTTAGGGCATCAGACCTTAACCGCGGGTTCAACAAGGTTTACGTGTGAGATAGGCAAGTTTAACCAGACTCCCTTTTTACCCTGATCAAGAAAAGAACAGTTCTACAGAATCAACGCTCACTCAAGAAGAAAAAGAAACATTCTGAAAGATATATGCATGTGATCGCACCAGCACAAACCTGTAAACGCCACTGCGCGAATGAGTATTTAAGCGCTGCAACGAATGACTTAGGATCCATAGGAGTTTTCATCTCCACAATCACACCTCCATAGTCATCATCCACAAACGGAAGTGCCTCACACGTCATGTGTTCTACTCCATTAACCAGAGGAGCCTCTTGGTCTGACATGCTTCAAATTGGTGTGATTCTTAGTAGTTCAACCAAAAGAGATCAAGATAGAGAGAGAGAAAGGAGAGTGTGGTTTCACCAAAACAATGATTTCAAAATGAGAACAATCACGAGGCCGTAATGGTGAAAGTCAAGTGCTTATATAAGTACGTTTAGAATTATATATTTACTAAATGTAGTGGGGTGGGTCATAAATCATAAGCATAAATTTATAATGGCCTTCACATAATCACATTAACCCGACGCGCTTCTTCGGTGGAGTGACGCAGTCCCACACGTCACCTTGAATGCAAAAACAAATATATGCATACGTATGGTCTACAGTAATTTTCAATTTTTTTTTTTTGGTATCAATATGAAGTATTTATACCATTATCGAAATTTTGACAAAAACTACGAAGAATACAAGTAGTAGAAAAACCCAACACCAACAAAACATCAAAGGAGTTAATCGTAAATCCAAAATGAAAACAGAAAAAAAAAAAAAAAACACCTATTCCGAGATAGCATACTCAACTACTCATAAGAGAATCGGTTAAACAGAATCATAATATGTCATTTGTTGACTTGTGTGTGACATGAAAGATGAAACCAGTGGAGAGATGCAAAAAGGCCATTATTACAGAGAGGGATAAAGAGTAAAAAAACAAATCAACATCGCCCACCGTGGGGCTCGAACCCACGACCACAAGGTTAAGAGCCTTGCGCTCTACCAACTGAGCTAGACGGGCTTTGTGTTCTGACTAGCAGTTTATATTAATATTACATTTTCATTCGAGGTTGATCACTTTATCTATTCAGCGGATCTTTTGGAGACTAGCCATCATTATATGTACCAGTACCACTGGTCATATATCTATCTCAACAATTTTGTGACAGACATTTATAAACCTGCAAATATTTTTTGCTCAACCTCTCAACTTATTAGATCAAGAGCTTCCGATTAAATTATACAGCCAATTATTGACAAACAAATGAAAGGCCAGCCTCTCTATGCCTGTTTCGATCGGTACCTAGCAGCTACAAGAACACTTGGCATAAGATCGATATGAAGCCGCTCAATACCTACAGTTTCGGTTTCTCTCAACAGGAAGTGGGAAAACCCAAAGCTCGTGGAAGTGATGCTATCAAGCTTGTTTGGAAACTCTGTTAATACATCATTGCGGACATTCTCCTGCACATTTAACTCCGACGATACAGTATGGAACTCTCTTCATGATAAAACTCTTTTATTACTCTGAAACATCACCATAAATATATATGCCATACATTACAAGACACGAGTGTTGACCAATGAGGGACAAAACTTCTTATGCCTAAGAACTGATTAGATCATGGCTCTGCTCGGACATCAAACTAATATAATAGTTGAGACAATCAGTGGTTCACAATCTTCTCGTGGCCGTCTGTCTTCCCTGCAGTGACAGTCTGACAGATACCTTGATGCTACTAACAATCTCTCAGTAGAACAAAACAAACAAGAGCCCTTGACACTCAGACGAGAAGAGATATTGACAAAGGTGAGGAACTAGGGATCTTTTTTGGAGTCTCAAGACATGATCGCAGTTGGTTCCGTCGACCACTTCCATACTTTAACTTGACCACTTCCATCACCGGTGAAAAATATGCCCCCGGGACCTATCTGGATCGACCGAATCTCTTGCTTTGCCAAAATTTTGCCCCTTCCCGTAAACCTTACAAAAGAACAAAGAACTAAGCTTTTGAAAGTAAAAGATAACTGTAGACTCATGAAACAAACAGCATATAAAGGACTTACGATGGCAAGTCATATAGATGCAATGAATTGTCATTGCACGAACATAGCAATACTGGCTTGGCTTCGGCATCATGGACGCCACAGAGAGCTAGCACGCCCTAAATCCAAATAGCCATTAAGAACTCATTAGTTACATATGAATTTAACCAAAAGAGAGATAAGTAGAAAACTTTTCACTAAAAACGCAAAGAACTGTACGTATTCTTCTTTGTGAGTATATGTCACTTCTAAGTTTCCACCTTCAGTTGCAGCCCATATCTAGAGAAAAATAACCAACACGGAACAGTGTCATATTTAGGAATTGAGCCAGGTCAAAAAAAGAATCTGAGTTGAAAACGAACCTTGACAGTATTGTCCAATGAACATGACAGAAGAAATTGTTCCCAGCAAATGAGAGACATGACTACTGAAGTATGCTCTGTAAGTGTTTGTATACACTGCAGATTCTCTAGGCTCCAAACCTATTAAAAACAAATAAGGCGGACCAATTAGCTCAAAAGATAACAAAATAGGAGATTTTACTCAGGAATGATAGATACTACTTGCTTTTATAGAATTGTCCATGGCACCAGAATAGAGTCTGTTTGCTCCAACATATAAAGAAACAACTGCAAGGGTGTGACCTTTTAGTGATGCAGCTGGATCAAAACAGCTAGTGGTACTATTGTATTTCCAAACTAAAATAGAACCATCCTGCACAGAGAGTGATATATCCTTGTAAAAAGACTTTTTAAACCAAAATCCAATAGATCAGTAGATTTCTATAACAGAGGTGTATTTCCAGAGAAGCAAAAACACCCGTAATGATAATTCAAGAAGAAAAGGAAAGTGAAAATATAAACATGACGCTGAAGCACAAATCTACTCCAAGGCCTTAGATATAATAAAAAAAGGTCTACAGTCTGTCGAAGTATTTACTTGTGTGCCAGCGAACAACAGATCAGTACCAACAACCAGTGAATATACTTGACCAACAGGTCCAGTGAGACTCAGGTCTGCATTGTTTTGGATATTCCATGCCTGCATATATATAATATGAATAGGATAACAAAAGTGATGCTCTTGCTCAGTATACATGGAGAGATTTTAAGGAACCGTGCTAGTAAATCACACTCTGAACTTACCTTGACAAGATTTGGCATGCCAACCAATAGCCAGGGGCCTTCACTAATCATGCAGCCAACTTCCCCTCCAAGATTGAGTACGCCTGTACACTATATCATAGGAAAACAATACTATAGCAATAAACATTTGCGGAAAGCATCCCTTAAATGCAAATATGCTATCAAATAAATAGTGTTTTAAGTTCAATAATAAACTACATAAACAGGAGGCTCTGCAGAGTGATAGGCCATAATGGCACATCTTGTTCTGATCCTAACCAAGCAATGACAAGTATCCATAGAACTTTGGAACGAAATATAATCAAAGAAGAATAAAAAATGCAACATGAACAAATAGCGGCAAATCAAAACCTGTCCAGAAGCACAATCCCATATCCGCACAGTTTCATCTTTACTGCCCGTGTAAAGCTTATCGGACCCTGACGGCAAAGCAATCCCAGTGACAACCTGCTCAAGAAATCAGAACCAAAAGCACCATCAACATCGCCCCCAACAAGCACAAGAACCAGTTATAAAGAACTCCAACAAGAACACACCTTCTGATGACCATCTAGCTGCGTCAACAAGGAGAAACTATCCCCTTTACTCCAGCAATGCAAGTATCTACATTTATCACCGTAAGGACAATTTCCATCAACCCAAAACTTGCAAAGTTTCTCCGTCTTAGTCACAGTTCTGTTCCCACCGAATCTCCCCCAGTTATTAGCACTCCCGCTGAATCCAGGCCCTCTCCGGTGACTCGGACCCGCAAAACCAGATTCATCAGCGACCCTTTTATTCGTAGACGAAGAAGAAGCTGCGACAGGACCCGGACCGGGCAATTCTCTATGCAGGTACGGGCAAGGGTAGCGATTGCACCGGCCAGCCCGCCAGTGGAAACAAACTTTCTGATTCGAGTCCGTCGGGGGACGATTGGAGCCGCCGCCTAGTCTTTGAAAGACTCTCTTGTTTCCTCCGTTCATATCTAAATCCATCGAATTGGATTCTCTATCTCTAAAACTACAACAAGTGTGACTCAGAACACTCGGAATTGGATTATCCTGTAAACGTCGAACGGATCATTACTGTTCAAATTACCAAATCCGATCATAAGTAAAAAAACAAGCGCGAACATAGAACGAAACACCCCTAACGAAATTACCTCTCTGAATTTCCTCACAAAGGAGGTTTCTTAAATAAATCAAAATTGAAAGACGAAAATAGTGATTTAATGGAGCTTCGGTTTTTTCTAATCTTTGGACCTTCTTGAAATGGAGATGACACAAGTGAGGAAGAGATATCAGATCACTCCACGTCAGCTTCACATCGATGGTCGTTAAATTTCTAATTATTAGAAAAATATAATTTACAGTAATATATAACCAATCAGACAAGTCAAGATTCGTTGTACTACTGTAGTATCTCGTATTGTCAAAATCAAAAATTTCTATAAACTTTTGTGGGTGAAGTTGTAGATTGGTAACACAGGAACCACCATCTGTAGACATTTGTTACAAGTTACATTTGTATGTAGTATAAAATCTACACTCTTGTAAAAGGAACTCAAGAGTAACCTACAAATTACTCAAAGGCCAGCCTCTGAGTGCCAACAAGTGAAGCATATGATCCCTTTTGTGCCACCAATTCAGAATGTGTTCCAAGCTCTATGATCTTTCCATCAGCGCATACGGCAATCTGATGCGCGCTCTGGACTGTGCTTAATCTGTGAGCTATGACTAATGTTGTCCTGTCTTTCATCAGACGGTTCAATGCACTCTGGACTAAGCGCTCACTCACTGCATCAAGCGCACTTGTGGCCTGCAACAAGAAAACAAAAGAGAATTAGCAGTCTCATTTTATCTTAAAGCTATACCTGCTTTACTACCGGTTTTATGCTCTTTTGAGATTAACAGATTCTCTTAACCGTACAACTAAATGAGTGCTTAATATATGCCTTCTACAATTGCAATAGAAATGGTTCTAAATGTTTGCATATAACAATGTTTGTATTCTTATTTGAATTTGCTAAAACTTAGGTAAGGGTTCTAGCAAAGTACAAAAGTCCATCACAGAAGACCTTATTGAAAGAAGAGTCTCTCACCTCATCGAGAATCAAGATGGGGGCATTCTTCAGCAGAGACCGAGCTATGGCAACTCTCTGACACGTTGATAAACAAGCATATAAAAGTGGTAGCGAAAGCGTAAAAGAAATCAAAACATGTAGCTCTAAATGTTTTTATACCTGTCTTTGTCCTCCGCTAAGCAAGCCTCCCCTTTCACCAACCAGTGTATCGTAGCCCTATACACAAATACCAGTATTGCTCAGAAGAACTGAACTACTGAAGTGCATTTGCTAGGAAGAAAAGGTGAGTTGTTGCACACGAGGCGAACCTGAGGAAGTGAGATTATGAAGTCATGAGCGTTGGCAGCTTTGGCTGCCTTAATGATGTCGTCCTTGGACACATGATCATTGGGGAGACCATATGCAATATTTTCGGCCACAGAGAGAGAAAAGAGAACAGGTTCCTGAATCACACAGAAATATCACCTTAAAAAGGAGAAAAATAAATAATTTTACCATGCCTGACCCATAGATGTTATGTACACACCTGATTCACAATTGAAACAACCTTAGCCCATTCACTCTTGTCAAACATCCTCACATCCTCTCCACCCACAGTAATACGTCCTAGTGTTGGCTGCGAGAATTGGAAACTTCAACCTATCAGCATGTACTAGTGGCTTCGAACTTTTTCTTAACTGTTAACAGATAGATACTAAGTTTCAAATTGGAAGAGACTAAGCTAACCTCATAAAATCGTGCCAATAACTGTACAACAGTACTTTTTCCCGCGCCACTAGAGCCAACAAGAGCAGTTACGGTACCAGAATTCAACGTCAAACTGAGCCCATCAAGAACTTTCACGTCGGGTCGTAGAGGATAAGCAAAATGTACATCTAGACTAGACAAAACAGAACATGGAAAAATTTAAGAGGAGCTGGGGGCTCTTGAAGTAAGATAATATGAGGAGGATTTTCTTGGTCTGATATTACCTTCAAGACAGACATCTCCTGCCCATGTTAGGGTGCGTAGATTGTTAGTTGATTTCAGATCTGACATGTAGTACTTATCAAGGTGACGGATATTTACATTAGGGCCAGAAGACAAGAACAATCTAAGGTTTTCGTCTTGGACTTTCTTTGTATGAATATCTCTTTCTAACCCATAGGCAAGAGCATCATCTATATCCACCGCGTTTAAAATGGAGTTGATCCTGTCAATAGCAGCAAAAGTCCCACGTAGATCTCCGAATGTGTTTACAAGCCCTTGGACCTGGAAAACAAACTCATTGAATATTGTGAACCGAATGACATATATAGCATATGAGTAACGGTAAATGCTATGTAGATAGAGGTACTAACAGCAAATGTTAGAGTAAATGTGTATCCAATGAACGAAACAACTGTTCCAACTGCGAGCTCACCCTGCGTAGGAGAAAATTTTAAGAATGAAAACCAAGAAAATTAACATAAGAAACTACACAAACGATAGATAAGAGAGATAAATTCTTTAGTTTTAGTGATTTAAATTTTCAAAGCTGGTAACTTTACGCTAGCTTAACACATCTACAATCATTACAGAAAATATGAATGACAGTAACACGAACTTCTGTAAGATAAATTCATCATACCATGTTTTCTCTCTAAGTGTTACTGGCCAAGAAGCTTTATTTAAGTTCAATGATCAAAGATGGCAATCAAAAAGTCTTACAGGCAGGCCTATCTTACCGTCTTCACCTTGCTTCCCCCAAGACAGTAAAGAGCCAACAGTGATATATAAACAGCAACTCTTGTTATAGATTCATTAATTGATTTAAAAGTACCAAGCTTTAAGCCGCTACGCTGGAAAGCAAGAATCTGTACACCAAACACAAGGTTAGAATAAAAGATCATAGAACAGTAGGGGAAAACAGCAACAGATTAAGAGATATGACTTTTAGCTAGTAAAGGTCTGAATATGACCTGGCTACCGAAGAGAGACATCTGACGTTTTTCACCACTGAATGATCTTACCTATAAAGAGAGACAAATTACTTGTGTCTTCAAAGGCAAATAAAAGTTTCTATAGTTAGGAAAATCTGCCTAAATCATACAATACAATGCGTAATAACTCACAGTTCGGATTGCAGAAAATGTTTCTGATACACAATCAGACATTGTAGCTTGGGCTAATCCATGTGCTTTATAAACAGGAGCAGTCGACCTCTTGTATACAGCTTTTAAGATTTGACCGAGTGAGCAGATGTATAGGTAAGCAAAGTGACCAAAGCGATTACCAAAAAGAAAAAAGTTAGAAGAAATAAAAAGGTCATAGAGAATTTACCAACTAAAACTGAAACAGCAAGCATCAACAGACCAAGCACAGGTGCAAGTTGAGGAGAGAGAGTAAAAAGAATGCAGATTGTTCCAAAAACCTACAGTAGGGATAATGCATTAGTCATAAGAACTGGCATACCTATGAAAGAGATACACAGATATCACATTGGCCTAGTAAGAAATGGCTTGCCTCGGAAAAGGCCCTAAACCCACGATCTCGGGAGATGTTATCATTCACAATGCTATTCAGAGCACCAAGATCAGACGTGAGCAGTCCCGTCAGCTCTCCTACCTAAAACACATGACCTCAGTATAACATAATGGCTAGGAAGGTTTGTGCCATAATGTCCCAGACCTGAACAAACCAAAGAAAAAAGAACACAAACCTTATATTTGTCGAAAAACTCTGCCTGCAAACAAGTAAAAGACACCAGAAAAAAAGAAAAAATCAAAGATATATATCAATGGTAAACAACAACAGCCAAAAACAAACTTTGATGACAGAAAACAAAATATACCTTCTGGATCAAAACCCTTCTGAAAATCTGAGCTCTTAAGGTTGCCATAACGTTTTCCCAGATAGCATTCATGTTGGTCACAAAAGCAATAGTAAAGATGGGTTCCAACGAGTACAAGACAGCGATTTTGCTCAGCAGCTGCCACAGAGGATCCGGTCTCGCCCCAATCAATACTTCAAAGAATCTACCTACACACCCAAGATATCCAGTAACTCAATAAATAACACTTACCAAATACATCTATAACTCAAGAAACACAGATATTAAGCTAAATCATGAATGCATCATACCCAAATTTAACCTAAATTCAAACCAATCAAACAGTGGAGAAACTACAATTACAATCGCCATAGGCTGAGAGTGAACTGAAGAATCGATTACCAGAAAAAATAGGCATAGAAAGAGTGCAGGCGCTGCATCCAACGAGAGTCAATAAGCAAACAACGAGTCTAAGCTTGTGCTTATCCAACAAGCTCGACACAAGCCCCCAGCTGATTAAATCCTTCGATAGAGCCTCAGATTTGGATTCTTCAATCTTTGGGTCAGGTTCGTCGACAATAGGCGGCGCTCCAGTGACATAAGCCCGGGCCAATCCATCGGATTTTGCTCTCAACAAAGGCCGAAACTGCGCAGTGGAAACAGGTAAACTGCGGAAGGGAAGAAAGGGCTTTGGTCCACATGTTCTAAGGACAGACGCTTGGCAACGTCTATGAGCGACGACGAATCGAGTGGAACCGTGGTGGAAGAGGAGTGTGGTTGCAGACGCCATTGATATTGAAACCAAACGAGTTTCGCGACTGTGTAAAAAAATGGCTAATTTCAGATATTGAAAAAAAAAAAAAAAAAAAAAAAAAAGCGCCGTCTGAATTTAACTTTCCTTTTTCGGGACCTTACACGTGGACTCGATGAACATAGTAGTAAGTAGTAGTAACGTCTACTCTTCTTCTTTTTTGTTTGGCATCACATAGACATAGTAACGTTTCTCGAATTGAGATGATGGGTTGTGTTGAATCTCAATGATCTGACTTGTTCATTCACGTATGATGAATCATGATCATTTACCAAACAAAAATGATAATAATCTGAAGTTTTTTTTCTTGTAATAGTTAATTACTACAAATAAAAGGTTTGGGTTATGGATCCAATCATCATGTCTCCAAATTGAGAAATCCAAATAGTATTTGGCACTTTACCTATCATCAATATTGTACTACTTTACCAAAGTTGATCTGTTCTTTTTGCTAAAAATTAATTATTTAACCAAGAGCATCAGATCTTTTGTATTGTAAACACAAGTGCCTAGAGCTTAAACTATTTTAGAAGTGTCTTACATCTTTAGGTATTTGCAGAAAAAAATCTGAAACTATTGATATTCTTATTCTATGTAGTGCCAACAATTTCTTATATTTACAAAAACTCTTGGAACTTCGGATAAATTAGCAAGCGTCCCTGACTTTTTGATACTTGCTGAAGAACCAGAAACTGTTGCTATCAACCAACCTGGGACTTTTGCTATTTAACACAAGTGCCTAGAACTTTTCTTAGCCACGGAAATGCCAGAATCATTTTGTAATTTTTACAGGTGAGCCCAAACTTTTTGTTTTTACATCCATTTACTTTTATACTATTATACGTTTTTTTCTTGTTACTTATTAGGAGACCGAGATTATTATATACACTACTGCACTCAAAAACACTTGCATTTGACAACATCTTTATCATTTACATTCGTTTCTCACAGTAGCCACAAAAATCAAGAAGATCCGTTTCTATAAAAAGGATCTAACATATAAAAAACTATAATACCAAAAATGGAAAAAATAAAACAATGTAATAATAATAATCAAATATTAATAACTCCATAGCGACAAGTCATCATCGCCGTCGACGTCATAGTTATTATTCCATTGTACGGACGGAGGAGGCAAAAGCATCCCTTCGGCCATACTATCCAAAAAACTCGGCATCCCGAACATTGCCTCCTCGTCTATATATAACGACTCGCTCTGTTCCGGCGTCACAGAAGCTTCCACCATCGTCTCCTCCTTGTCAAGGCCATGATCAGTCGTCGTAGTCGCAGCCGTAGTCGTATCACCCATCTCATCTTGAAAAGCCAAGGCAGCTTCAGCCGCCGCCTTCTGGATCTCCTTGGCGCATGTTGACTCCGGGATCCTTAGCCGCCAAGCCGAGTCGGCGAAATTGAGACAGGCTGACCTGCCACGGAGGGTAATGGCGGCGACGTCGTGAGCACGAGCAGCCATCTCGGCGGTTTGGAAAGTGCCGAGCCAAATCCTAGTTTTTTTGTTTGGCTCTCTTAGCTCAGAGACCCACTTACCTGAGTTCCTTTGACGAACTCCTCTGTAAATCGGGTGACGAGTCTCGCGAAACTTCTTCCGACCCGCGGGTTTCTTGGGACAGCTCGTGGCAAGCGTAGGACAATAATCTCCGCCGCCTGAAGAACCCGGAGACTCGTAATCGGAGCCAAACATTTCAGAGAAAGCAGAGAATGATGATGAGTTCATTGTGGTGAACTTTGGACTAACTCAGTCTGCTCTGTTTGGATAAGGTTATATAAGTAGAGAGTCGAGAGTGGTAAACCAAAAAGATCTCTCTAAATCCTAGGTGGATTTAATATAGTTTTGAAGTTCTTGTTTATAGAGAAAAGTTGGGGAGTGAGAGCTTGCTTGTTTTATATTGTCCGATTGGCAAGAACCGCAAAGAGATTTACTTGGATATTTGTGGGGTCGTACACGGAGTTTGTGTTTCTAGCTTCTAAATGAACGCCACGTGGATAAGACACAGCTAAGCCCGATCCCACGGTTTTGTAATTGTTTAGGCTGTGAATCACTGAGGGTATGACACGTGTCGATACCCGTTTTTGGGAAGATTCTGACCTTTCTTCACTCGTTAATAACTCCTTTATGAGTTTTAGTTATTAATTTTATTGTATGGAAATAATATGAATGTGTGGCTGCTGTTTAATATAGCGTAGGACAACCATTATTAAAATACGATTACTTTTTCCATTAATAGTAGTCCTCCGTCTATAAATAAAATAATACTAGGACATAAAAGGTCTCTGAAACGAAAACGAGATATTTTTAAAAATGCTCTTTATGTCTTATCTCACTTGACATATTTCGTGCATCGCAAAATACTTCTAGATTAGGTAGATTGAGAGTAGATATTTTGTGTCCTAATATTTAGCCAAAAATACTAACTATAACAATTATCTAGAACATACAAAACCTTTCATTATATTACTAATCCTAATTAGAAACCCTATACTCTTCATCTACCTTTAATTTCTTCCATATACAGTATAATAGTATATATATACTATAATATATCCTTCTTTACACATGTATAAAGCAAGCTTAGATGATCACTTAGGTGTTAAGAAAATTAATCCTAATTATATTTGAGAATTGAGTTTAATAGAGAAACGACTAAACAAAAAATGATGTAACCGGATGGATAAGCCAAGGATTAGACAGATATTCGTAGAGCATAACTATGGGTGTACGTACATCTCTCGGATCTGAATAACAGCAATAAAATATCGCAAAAGCTCAACAACCGCGATAAGAAAATATCTTGACAAATAATAAACGTTGCCGTCGTCACCTCTCGCTATCAAGCCTCTTCCCGCCCCACGTTATTATATTGTCATCTTTGGGAGAAATAAGACGACAAAGACAAAGAGTGGTGGGCTTAAAGAGTGGTGGTAAGGTACAGAAAACGACAAACAAGATATTAGTATAAAACTAGAAAGTAAGACTTGAAAACGACATGATAATGGGGTTTCGGTACGAGCCACGTAAGATGGGTTGAAGAAGCTTAATTAGGACATTTCATTTCTCTCTTGTGGAACACATGTCTTTCTGTATTTAGTAGTGTACGGACTTATTAATGGAGTTTTCTCTTTGCTGAATCAGTTTCTTTCGGTTTCATACTCTAATTTAGGAAACATTGGACCAAGTTTGAGTTGAGACTTGAGACGACTTCTATTTAGCTTTTTAAGTAATTGTTTTGTTTTTAATAAATAAAAAAACTTTAAGTTAATTACAAATGTTTGCGTCATTTTTTTCGTTTCTTCCCTCACTACATTGTATTCCTTATCCTATTCCAATTGTTGATTCAAATGCATCTCTGCTTTTGTAACACATGAGTATATAAGATCATGAACTTTTTTTTATAAAATACTGCACTCTTTGCATTTAAGTAAAATCCAGCCATACTCAATCATTTACATTCACTTCTCACAACTACCCAAACAACAACAAATGAAGGATCCGTTCTAAAAAAGGATCCAAACAAAAATAAATATCATAATACAGTAGTACCAAAAACATTAATGGAGATGAGAAAAGTCAGAAGTTTAATAACTCCATAACGAGACGTCATCATCGCCGTCGATGTCATAGTTGTGATTCCATTGTACGGACGGCAGAGGCAAAAGCATACCTTCGGCCATACTAGCCATCAAGCTCGGCATACCGAACATGTCCTCTTCGTCTATATATAACGCAGCGCTCTGTTCAGCCGTCACAATTGCTTCCACAAACGTTTCCTCCATGTCAAAGCCAAGATCCGTCGTCGTGGTATCGCTCATCATCATCTCATCCTGAAAAGCCAGCGCAGCTTCAGCCGCCGCCTTCTGGATTTCCTTGGCGCCTGTTGACTCCGGTATCCGTAGCCGCCAAGCAGAGTCAGCGAAATTGAGCAGGCTGACCTGCCACGGAGGGCTATAGCGGCGACGTCGTGAGCACGAGCAGCCATCTCGGCCGTAGGGAAAGTCCCGAGCCAAATCCTAGATTTCTTGTTTGGCTCTCTAACCTCACAAACCCACTTGCCGGAGTTTCTCCGACGAACTCCTCTGTAAACTGGGTGACGGGTCTCACGAAACTTCTTCCTACCCGCTGGTTTTTTGGGACAGCTCGTGGCCAGCGTCGGACAGTAATCTCCGCCGCCTGAAGAAACCGGAGACTCGTACTCGGAACCAAACATTTCAGAGAAAGCAGAGAAAGATGAGTTCATTGTTTGAGAATACTCTGTTGGAGATAAAGAAGAAAAAAAACTGGATAAGATTGTAAGTAGAGAGTAACCAAAAGAAGAAATCTCTTTAGTTGTTAAAATATATATATTTCTCTCTCTCTCTATTTTCTTTTCAGGTGGATTCTTGTTTAAGTTTGTAGTTAGAAGAAAAGTTGGAGTGAGAGCTTGATCTTTTATATTGGCCTTGAGATATTTTACAAGCATAGAGAACACGAAGATAGTGTCTCTGAGGACGCCACGTGAACAAAAACACAGCTAAGCAATTCTACGGTTTGGTTTTAAAGAAACGAGTTGTTAAGGCTGTTACTCACTCATTGTCTGACATGTGGCCTTCGACCCCTCTTGAGAAGACTTTTTGGACTCTTCACTCGTTATTACACCTTTATGAGTCGTTTTTATTATTCATAAGTAAAATAGCCTCTCATCGTGTGAATGTGTGGCTGTTATGTATTCTCTAATCTCTACTATACTAAAGTGTATGTAGGTCACAACCGTTATATTCATTTTTATTATTATATTCCTGAATTTAGAATTTGTCGTTAATTGTCACCCGTTCAATCGACATAATATTAAGATATTTTAGATGCTCTTTATTTTTTACCTTGGCATTTTGTACATTGCAAATCCTTCTAGAATATGAATAGCGAGTGTAGTATGTAGATATTTGTGTGCAATTTAGCTAAATATATACAAAATTATAATTCTTGTTTTCTAACTTAAATTGATCAAATTTGGTATTGAACATGTAAACACCTCAAGCCTAATAAAATGACAAACAGTAGACGGCCAAGTTTTAAACCATATAAGCAAGTACGTCACGACGTAATTTTTGTAAAAAAAAACTTTTAAATTGAATTTGTATCTAAATGATTATAATGATCTTTTAAAATTAATTCAAGAAGTGTAAAAAGTTATGAAATGTGGTTTTAGACCATAATTGGTAATCTACATGAAAGATGAAATAGTATAATTTTTTTAAAACCCTAGTTAAATGATTAACTCCATATCATAATATTTATAGGTAACTAAAGTAATGACGTCTCTAAGAAAATAAAAATTGAGTGATCTCCTATTTCTTTTTGGGGGAAAATAGTTTCACATTGTTGTTGTTATAAATGATATACAATACGAATTTTGTAATATTCTATGATAAGTTTTTAGAAGGTCTAGTGAAAACTATGAAAGTTATATTTAGGGTTTGATATGTTTATTAAATCCGTCAGAATGTAAGTATATTAAAACTAAATAAAATAGCAAATTTGTATCGAATCGTAATACGAATTTGAAACATAAAATTTACCTGCATTTATAAATTAGTCAATTTTCTTTAGTATTCACTACATAGTGCATTGACAAAATGTGGGGTGTGTTGGATTTAGGAGACAAAATAGAAAAGTGTTTGCGTATGTGACAAAAGGAGAATGTAGTAAGCATGCAATAAAAGCACATTTTGCATTAAGTGGATCACAATTCTCAACCCCCTCTCTCACTCTAGACTAGTTTCTCTCTCTCTCTCTCGCTAAATTTATCTCTTCTATATAGTGATGGTGGTGAGCTCCTCCTCTTTCTCATTCGGGGGAGTTTCTTTCTCCTATCTTCTCTTATTTCCTTCAACCACCACCTTTCACACCTCCTTGGCTCCTCCTCAATCGGAGGAGTTTCTTTCTCCTCTTTTCTCTTCTTTCCTTCAACCACCACCTTTCTCTTACGATCCTCTTCTCTTCTTCCCTTCAAGTTCAACGACCACCACCTTTCTCTTAGACTCTTACAATCCTCTTCTCTTCAGCTGCCTCTCCTCTACCTTCCCTTACCTCGTTGCAAATCATTATGAGTATAACTTCTCGTCAAGGTTTACTCCGGTAAGCTCTTTTGATTACACATATATATACTTATCTATTTGCTCCATTTGAATGTTTTATATCCATTTAACAATCATAATATATCTATTTTTCTCGTTACAATATCCAATCTAACAATATATAGACACACACACACACTATATATATATATACATATATATGTATGATCTAAAATCAAATGTTTCGCTCCATTTCTTTCTTCGCTACTGATTTGATAATTATCTCGATCATGCAAGCAAAAGAAAAACACAATTTATAATAATAGAGAATCAAGATTTTTTCTGAAGTTTTTTTAAAAAAACATAATTTTATCTCATATCCCGAATCAAATACTTCTGAAAAACATATTTAAAACTTTTCTAAATACAAATACTTCTGAAAAACATATTTAAAACTTTTCTAAATACAAATACTCTAATATTTTTCAGATGTATTGAACAAAATATTTTACCTCTTCGAAGAATGTCAAAAAAAAAACAAAAAAAAATCCGCCGAATGTCTGCACAAGTGTTGCAGGTCTTACAACAACAAGCTTAATTACTTAGTTACGTGACTTACGTCTAAACATGTAAAAGTGGATTATTAAGGCAAAGGATTAGACGGATACTATAATATCTACAAAATATCCCAAATCTGAAAAATAGATATAATATCTCAAGTCAAATCCAATAAGAGCTATAAAATATCAGCAAAACTTTACATAAAATATCAGCATAAAATTTATATTCGCTTCCAAAAACCCACGTCCTCGCTCGTGGTAGCCTATCACACTCAAGACTTTCACGTTTCCTAGATATTTTGGAGAAGCAAGAAGACAAAGAGAGGTATATGGTCAAGACTCAAGATATATAAAGTTATAAACAAAGAAAATAAGATTTTAGTAGAAAATAGAAATTAGTAAAGCCTTGAAGTGACGTGCCACGTGGTACGAAACACCACAGCCAGCCACGTAGAGTGGAAGGTACTGACTATTACTGGTGAGGTGGTAGGGACAGTGTATCCGCGGTCGAGCCACGGTGTTAAGGATTTTGATTGGCCCATGCCGCTATCTTTGTGGGACTATCTATCTTCGATCTCTCTCTATTTTTGGAACGTGGTGGATTTGTTTAATTTAACTTTTGGCTGTCGTACGGAGTACGGACATGTTATTTTCGGTTTGCTGAATCGTTTTGTTCGGTTATGTACTATTTTTGGAAACCTTTTGTAAAAATAGTATTCTTAAGATTGGAAACCTGATTTTTTTTGTTGGTAGATTTGAGATGCCACAATTTAATGAATATAATATGTTGCTTAAGTTGAAGTATATAAAAGAAATCACAGGATATGTGATCAGATAACATTTACAATATCATCCACGTGTAACGTTTATGGCCACATATTCTCCCTTGAAAGCAGTTGACTTTATCTCTTGTTTTTTCTTCTATTTCTTTGTTTGGGTTCAATACTTCATAGTTCATACATATATAGATTTGACTTTTAACTTATTTGAAACAAAGAAGTCGAAATTATTTATTTCTATTGAATTATTTACACTCGTGTCTCATACCAACAACAACAAAAAAAAAGCGGAGGAATCCGTTTCTTAAAAAGGTTTGAATTGGCGCAAAAAAAAAAAAAAAGGTGTGAAGATTTGGAAAAATAATAGTACAAAACAGGAAATGAATTATCGAAAATTTAGTAACTCCATAGAGACATGTCAGCATCTCCCTCGAACTCATAATTGTTATTCCATTGTACAGACGGCAGCGGCAAAAGCATCCCTTCGGCCAAACTATCCAAAAAACTGGGCATCCCGAACATTGCCTCCTCGTCTATATATAACGTGTCGCTCTGTTCCGGCGTCACAACAGCTTCAACCAACGTCTCCTCCATGTCAAGGCCATGATCACTCGTCGTAGTGGTATCACTCATCATTTCATTTTGAAAAGCCAACGCAGCTTCAGCCGCCGCCTTCTGGATTTCCTTGGCGCATGTTGACTCCGGGATTCGTAGCCGCCAAGCCGAGTCAGCGAAATTAAGACATGCGGATCGGCCTCGGAGGGCTATGGCGGCGACGTCGTGAGCACGAGCTGCCATCTCGGCGGTTTGGAAAGTTCCAAGCCAAATCCTCGATTTCTTGTTTGGCTCCCTCACTTCACACACCCACTTACCAGAGTTTCTCCGACGAACTCCTCTGTAAATTGGGTGACGAGTCTCACGAAACTTCTTACGACCAGCTGGTTTCTTTGGACAGCTCGCCGCAAGCATCGGACAATAATCTCCGCCTGAGCTAACCGGAGACTCGTAATCAGAGCCAAACATTTCAGAGAAAGCAGAGAATGAGTTCATTGATCAGTCCTCTGTTCCAAGAAAAAAACCTGGATAAGGTTATAACTTATAACGTTTATAATAAGTAGTAGTAACTAAAAGATCTCTCTGTTTCGTTTAAAATAATTATTTCCCACTCTCTCTTTCTTTTAAAATATTCAGGTGGATTTAAAGTTTGTAGTATAAAGAAAAGCTAGAGTTGAGAGTTAGTCTTTATATTGGCCGAAGAGAGAATGGGATATTTTATGGCATAAAGAAAAGAGGAACACGGAGCTTCTGTCTCTGGGAATGCCACGTGTAGAAGACACAACTAAGCAAACTGTTAACCACGGTTCTGTAAAAATGAGTTGTTTATAGGGTTTATTCACTAAGAGTCTGACATCTGTCCTTTGACCCGTCTGACAAGGCTTTTTGACTCTTCACTCGTTATATCTTTATGAGGTCGTTTTTCTATAACTTATTATATTGTGTGAATGAGTATGTGGCAGTGGCACTGTGGCTGTTGTTGTTGTTTGTGTAGTGTAGGACAACCAAATTATTCAAATTATTTAACTTCCATATAAATTGTCGACTCACCCGACTATAAAATAATAGATCCCATACGAAGATCCGTTCCTGATATTTTATGTGTCTTGTCCTTGGACATATATTGTGTGCATTGCAAATAAATTGTGCGAGTAGATATTTATGCACTAACAATAGAAACAATTTAGAACATAATCATTCTTGCATACAATAATTAAATTAATTAAAACTCCCTTGTCGGCATGGAAATTCTTCTCATACGAAAAAAGTGTAATTATCATCTATTTGAAACGCTCCATTCCATATATACATACACGGATTAGATGAGCATATGAATTTGAGTGGTGACCCAAATAAATAAAAACTCAAAATAAAGAAACTATATGGGGAGAAACAGATAGATAAAACTGAACTAGTGCTGATTAAACAAATTTGATAGTTTAAATTATATGTCAAGCAATATGGATCAAATATTAAAATTAAAAAAATGCTAGTTTAAATTATTTTATTACATAATACATACATACTAAACTGTATCAAATTAAAACTTAGTAGAATATAAATTTTTTAACAACATTTTGGTAAATTTTTTAACATTATTTAGTTTTTATATTTGTTTCTATAGCTGGCGACAAAAAAAAAATTACTTGTTTCTATAGCAACATTCTTTAGTGTTTTTTACAGAATGGTAAAATAAACGTGTATATATATACATGTGCTCCAATTTCAACTATGTGAAAGATATTAGCGAGCAAAGATTGATATCTAATAAATAAATAAAGTTTTCAAGTGACATAAATAAATTATTAAATAACAGTATTTATATATTAAAGGCCTTAAACTATATCTCTAATAATTTTTTTTTATAAATCAAATTAAAAAAACTCTTGAAACGCACCCAAATTGTTGAACTGTCTGAGTACGTGACAAAAGAGAATGTGGAAAGCATGCAATAAAATCATTTTGCATGCAACTGATCACAACCCTCAGCCTCGCTCTCACTCTAAACTAATTCCTCTCTTTTCTCTCTCTCTCTATCTAATGGTGGTGATAAGCTCCTCCTTCATATATATACGACCACCACACCTCCGCCGAGAGCTTCTCACTTGGATGATCTTCCTCCTCTTTCATATTCTTTCCTACATCTATCTTCTGATCCTCTCCTCTTTAACTACCTCTCATCCACTTTTATTGCCGGAAAACTTTGTCGGAAACCACCTCGACTTGAACTTCCGAAGAAGATAACTTATTTTTTTTTCAAATATATATTGTTTCTTCACAATATACAACTTAATATAGTAATCTCAATCAAGTTAAGTCAAAGTTGTAATTTCTTTACAACTCAATTTCAAAATCATGCACGTTCCTCATTCCTTCGCTACTAGTTTAATAATAACTGTTATTCAAGTACAGTTTGGATTAATTTTAAAGTCAAGATTACTAATTTACTATTGGCATTGTATTTTATCTCTCTTATCCCCAATCAATTCTTCTTAGCTCTTAGAACATGTTCAATGGAGACACTCTTAACATGTGTCTAAAATAATTAATTTGATTTTTTAGACAAATGAGTGTTTAAAATGGTTGTCTAAACTCTAAAAGACTAAACCAAACAAAAATGTCTTAAATAAGACACATTAGACAAATAAGTTTTTAAAATTAGATCTAAAAATCAGTTAATCCACTATTTTAATTTTTAGGAATCCACCTTAAAACATCCTAATAATAAACCATTGTACGTGCTCTTAAAGTACTAAGGTAGGAAAAAAAAACCTCAGCCGAACAGCACAAAAGTGCAAAGTCTTATAGATTGATAATTAGTTAGTATACTTACGTCTAACAAGTGTTTAACAAAATTAACGTAGCGGTATAATAATTCCTTGTAATTTCTATCACAATATACAAAAATGGTATAAATATTTTATATTTGTATAAAAGAAAAAAAAAACTAACGTAGCGATATAATTGAGCTCAATAAACTAAACTAAAGTATGTAATATTTGTGGGTTAAGCCAAGGATTAGAATATAGCTAGACTGTCGACCTATACAATAATACATCTAGAAAATATCGTCATCTTCTTTTGTTGAGACCAAATCAACCAATTAATAAAGTATCTCAAATAAAATCACAATAATATCATAAATCCAATATTATAAGATATAAAATATCTTGAAGAAAAATATTCGTTTGCGAAAACCGTTCCCGTGACATCGCACTCTCAAATCTCTCGCGTAATTATTGATATCGTCGGACGACAAGGACAGGGAGCAAAGAGTGGTCGAGGAGCAGAAAACCACAAAATAAAAAAGTGAGTGCAAAATAGAAAGTAAAGCTTGAAAGTGACATGCATGAACGTGGTGGTGTAAGGGAACTCGAGAGCGAGCCACGTAGTGTTGGGTAGGTAGGGACTCTACTTCTACGGTCGAACCACGGTTTCATGATTTCGAGTCTCTTTCGTGGGTCAATCTTTTCCGCTTTTGGTGTACGGACGTTTCGTTGAGCTTTTACTGAATCGGTTGTTTCGGTTTTATACTCTATTTTTGGAAACATTTTGTAGATAATACAAACATTCTTTAATTCTTTAGTGAATTGGACTGTATCTTTTATTTATTTATTTGGACCTTTTTGTTGCTAGATTCGAGACTGCTCTTTTTTATTATGTAATATTTCTGTAGCTCTTTGATGCTAAAGTGTAAATATGTAATTGAAAGGAGATATGATCATATAGAATAATTGAAAGGAGATATGATCAAAAAAGTCGAAACTTCGTTCTCATCCACGTGGTACCGTGATACTGTGGCCGCATATTCTTCCTTGAAAGCAACTATTATAGCTTTAAAAATTATGTGAAGCAAATAAGAGGATGATGATTTCTTCTTTGTGTTTGACTTAAGTAGTTAAGTGTTGTGTAATAAACAAATGCATTTGGTTTGTAACACATACTATTATATTATTTTTGTGTAATTAATTAAGCTTAAACTTTTCAATAACACATTAATGAACTAACTCTTAAACTTCATAGCATCCTTATGTATATGTTAATACTACTTTCTTAAATCGAAATCTTGACACAATGATATTGAAAGCTCGTGTGGTTCCTCTAATCTACACCAATGCGTTGATATACGGGTAGAGCCTAGGACGTTGTTGTAATCGCTTTGTGTCGGCGACTTTCTATGACTTGTAAACGTGTAATCATTTGCAGTATCTAATAAACTATGTTTTTCGACACTCTCCTAAAGACGAGAGTTTCGTACTTACGTTGCTGAATCGATCTTTACGTTGGTGAATCGAAAACTACTAAATAGGATAGCTATTGTTGAATCAGATGTTATGTTTTTGGTTGGGCTTTTCATGATTTGTATATTAACAGACTGGCCCAATAAAGTAGACATCTAAAAATACTTCAAGACGGCCCATTTCTTTATTCTTTTCTTTTCGGCCGAACACTATTATGTAACACAAATAAAGAAAAGTCAAATTTTTTTACGAAGATATTAATATCTTGGAAATTAAAATTAAAAGAAAGAAAAAAAGGGAAAAAAGAAAAATATCTAACTGCTCTGTACCTAAAACAATCTCTTATCTCTAAACTAGTTTTCACTTTCACCAACTATCTCGAAGCGAGCTGGAGCTTGTTCTAGGGCTTACAAGCGAGCAAGCAGCCAAATCATTCCAGTTTTGATCATTCTACAGGTATGTTGATGGATTCATCTCTAATTCTTTCTTTTGTTTTGACTCTCGAGTTCGTGGATCTGATCTTCTGTAGAACGATGCAATTCGTCGATCTCGTTTGCTTTTTTTTGAAGTGTAGAATCTTAACAGAGCCTCTTTGTTTCTCTTGTTTGTTCTGGTGGTAAAGATTCATGCTTTTGCTTGTTTGTTCTCGTTTGCTTCATCCTATGAGTTATTTCAGATCTCAAATTTAAGATTAGATCTGATGCAGTAACTTGAATCTGGTAGTATTAGTATGGAGTTAATATATTGGAGCTCTATAAATTTGAAAGTCTGGAATTAGTGAGTAGATCAACAATTGAGCAAAAGCATTCTATACAAACAATTCAATCTAGTGTTGATGGCTAATATACATTGTAAAGTTTTCATTTTGGTGACACCTGCTTGTTGACAAAACCCTCAAGCCTATTCTTGTTTGAATTATCCTTTGTACTTTGGGGTTAGTCTCACCCTCGTGGATCTATGTAGGAAGCATGAAGCCAGTCTTCTGTGGTAACTTTGAGTATGATGCGCGTGAGGGTGATCTGGAACGGCTGTTCAGGAAATATGGCAAGGTTGAGAGGGTGGATATGAAAGCTGGTAAGGTTTTTTTTTTCTTTTCTTTCTTCTGCCTTTTACGTACTCTATCTTTGTGGTTAACTTCGATGAACAAGCAGTATTATAAACCACTAAGTGCGATGCGAAAGCAAATATCAAATGCATGTCATGAATTCCACTCCCATGTTCCTTCCACAAGAAGGCTCTGGAGGGCCCTCCCTTAGAAAGGAAGTCATAAACATAGACCATACCTGCCACTTGAAGCAGCCTGCTTGGTGTTTGGAAAGTACTTCAGAGGATAAAGATTTAAAAGAAAAAACGATTAGTGTAAAACCGCCATACTCAGCATTTTCTTTGGCGCAGGATGTGTTAATCTTGGGATGCCCATACTCCCACTAGCCCATGAATGGACCATAGGAAATTCATCTCATTGGTCCCCAAAACAAGTCACTTTCCATCCGCTATAGCACTGCCATCTTAATTGCATTTCATTCCTCATGACTTTGCACTCTTGGACATACCTCTGCGATGGAGAAGGCACTCTCTTTTCATTCGCATCCCGTCTGACTCTACATTTTCAGTTGTTCCTTGACATATTAATTCCATAATGCAAGGTCTGTAACTGCTTCACTGGTCAATTGGTTTGCAGAGTTTTTTAGGCTCTAGGAATGTTCAAAAATTTAATTTGTCCTATCCTAGTAGGTAAGTTTGGCTTTTTGATTCCTCTGAAGGAAAAGGACAGTCTTTCTGTTTGCTGGAGGTTCTTAACCTGGTTTATTTCCTCACTGTTCATATACTCAGATATACGCTATTGACTCTTTTTCTCCAGGCTTTGCTTTTGTGTACATGGAAGATGAAAGGGATGCTGAAGATGCCATTCGTGCGCTTGACCGCATTGAGTTTGGGCGTAAAGGACGAAGACTTCGTGTTGAGTGGACAAAGGTAAGATACTGACCTCAGGATTTATCTTTTATACTTGTTTACAAGGCTTGAAATACTGATAACATTCATGTTTTCTGCATAGAGTGAACGTGGAGGTGATAGAAGATCTGGTGGTGGTTCACGGAGATCCTCATCAGGCATGAGACCTTCCAAGACTCTCTTTGTTATCAACTTTGATGCGGATAATACTAGGACCCGGGATCTTGAAAGACACTTTGAGCCGTATGGAAAAATCGTAAACGTTAGGATCAGGAGAAATTTTGCATTTATCCAATACGAGGCACAAGAGGATGCCACCAAAGCACTGGATGCTACAAATAACAGGTTTGTTCCTGTCCACTTCAGTTTCTAATTGCTTTCTTTACTTAAGACTCACATTTAGCCTGTGTATTCATTCAGTAAGCTGATGGATAAGGTGATCTCAGTGGAGTATGCGGTGAAGGATGATGATGCTAGAGGAAATGGTCACAGTCCTGAAAGACGCCGTGATAGGTCACCTGAAAGGAGAAGGCGATCACCTAGTCCTTACAAAAGAGAAAGAGGAAGCCCTGATTATGGCCGAGGTGCCAGTCCTGTTGCTGCATACAGAAAGGAAAGGACCAGTCCTGACTATGGTAGAAGACGTAGCCCAAGTCCTTACAAGAAATCAAGGCGTGGCAGTCCCGAGTACGGTCGTGACCGCAGAGGCAATGATAGCCCTCGTAGGAGGGAGAGAGTCGCAAGCCCCAAGTACAGCCGCAGTCCCAACAACAAGAGAGAGAGGATGAGCCCTAATCACAGCCCATTTAAGAAGGAAAGTCCTATGAATGGAGTGGGTGAAGTTGATAGTCCAGTTGAAAGGAGAGAGAGATCGAGGTCTAGCCCTGAGAATGGCCAAGTTGAAAGCCCTGGCTCAATTGAAAGAAGAGACAGTGATGGTGGCTACGATGGTGCAGAGAGCCCAATGCAGAAGAGGTTAGTTGTTGAAATAGTTTGATGCTTTATATTATGGTATTACGAATCTAACCATCTTTCTTTTTGTTGCAGCCGGTCTCGTTCGCCACCAGCTGACGAGTGATGAAAGTGGATCCACAAACTCTATCAAAGTAGGATGTTGTAACTGTTTGTAGTCAATACTGTGTCGTCGTATTTAGGTTTTGTCTTTTGCTTAAATGTTTTTATTGATAGATTCGAACTCGGATCTCTTTTATTGTCGGATTGAAAGACATTGTATGTGTGCCAAGATACTGCACTTTCCGCTTTTATCATCTCAGTTTGAACTCCAATCATGATTCATGAATTAAAAAGACATTATACTATTAAGCACGTGAATGAGGAAGCAGAAGAATATACTTCCCAATCGAGCCTTGCATGCATCTTGTTCGTGACTAGCATCAAAACACCTTTAATGAAATGGAACACATAACGTCTCATCACAACATTAGGTCGTTCCTATTGATTCCCTTAAACACTAAAAAAGCTCATCTAACTCAACGCTTGTTCTTATTTTTTTTTGGAGTGAAGACTAGTCCCAAAGCTTATGAATATATTTTTGTTTATTTCTCTGTTGACATAAAAAATGTGTGAATAAAAAATATTCATCAACAGAAGGAAATATATCTCATCCATTTTAATTTTTCTTGTGCTAATTAAAAAGTGTAGTAGTAATATATTTTTCCAAATGCTGCAGTAAAGTTTAATCTCTTGATTAATCCCTCTCTTCTGGGTTTCTTCAAATATCTGTCTTTTGGGATTCGTGCAAGTGTCAAGTCTACTTGGTTGAAAGTTTATGGTTGATTTGGTTTGGACTTTGAAGTGTGTGTGTTGGTAAGTTTTACCCTTTGAGATAGAGGGATGTCTACTACTACTATGTATTATGTTATGATTCAAATTTGCTAGTCTGGTAATTAGGGCTTTCGAGTGTTATAAAGAATTCGCCTTTTCGTCTTCTCTTTGTTGCATCGAGGAACAACAATTAGCTTCTAGTTTATAGGTTGGATTTGTATCTAGTCGCTGATTATTGGTTTCATTGCCTTCATCTTTTGACCACTGGGGGGTGCTCAGGCTTTGAAAACTATAGCTCAATCTCTTGGATCCTGAATCGTTAATTATCTCAGTTTAATCGGTGAACATAGAGCTTAGCTGCTTGGGATCCGTTTGGCTTTTTTTTCTTGCTGGCTTCAGATTCCGAGAGGACGGTTTAAAGTTTCAAGCTTTTCATTTCTCTGAATCTGTCCGTGTATTTTGGACGGCTTGGTCTGTGTCTGCTCTCCCGGGGTATGAACAGAGCAACGGTCTCAGGAGCTATCGCATCGAGTTTCTCATTGACAGATGCTGTTGGTCCGGAAGCTTTAAATATGCAGAGGGGCAGTGGCATCAATAATATGCGTATCCCAACATCACCAATGTCTTTCTCCTCGAATAGCATGAACATGCCAGGTTCATTGGTTCCTGATGGGTCTGCTTCTATGCAACACTTACCTCAGCAGCAGCAGCAGCAGCAGCAGCAATTACAACAGCAAGCTGGACAAGGTTCAGGTCCAGTGAGGGAGAACAATTATTCCCATGTCGATAAGAAACCCAGATTAGAAGTGAAACAAGAGGATATATTGCAGCAGTTGATCCAGCGTCAGGACCCCACCGGAAGGAATCCACAGTTGCAAGCTTTGCTTCAGCAGCAGAGACTAAGGCAACATCAGCAGATTCTTCAATCCTTGTCACCCTCTCAAAGGCTCCAACTTCAGCAACAGCAGCAGTTGAGACAGCAATTACAGCAACAAGGCACTCAACAGATTCTTCCTAATGTACGTCCTTATGAAGTTGGGGTGTGTGCTCGGAAATTGATGATGTACTTGTATCACCTGCAGCAACGACCATCTGTAAGTGTATTTGTGGACTTTTAGCACTTTCATCACATCTATTCAAGTTCTCCCGTTACTGATACTTCTTTGTAGGAAAATTGCATTACCTATTGGAGGAAATTTGTGGCGGAATACTTTTCTCCTCGCGCAAAGCAAAGATTGTGCTTGTCACAGTACGAAAGTGCTGGGCACCATGCACTTGGCATGTTTCCACAGGCAGCTCCGGTCAGTTTCTTCTTTTCTCTTTGTGTTTTGATTTTCTTTTCTGATATCGGTGTTCTGCATCAATGTATTTCATGTTCACTCGACCTGTACTGTTTATGAATTTTACTACACTGAGCTTATTATAATTAATAAGTCCATCATCTTCTTATCGTATTTGCAGGATATGTGGCAGTGTGATCTTTGCGGCACCAAATCCGGAAAAGGATTTGGTAAGCGAGTTGCTAGTTTCTCATTCTTGTGTGTATTTGTATATCTCTACCTTCACTCGAGCACAATGAAGCAACTTACATATCTTAATTGCTCTCTTTTATGGTTTAAAACACTGATAATTATTTTAAATACTCTTCCGTCAATATAGTAGCTAAACTGTCATCATCTTTTTTTGCAGAGGCAAATTTCGATGTGCTAGCCAGACTTATTGAAATCAAATTTGCGAGTGGCATCATTGATGAGCTCTTATATCTGGACCACCCACGAGAAAACAGGTTTCCCAATGGACTGATGATGTTAGAATATAGAAAAGCTGTTCAGGAAACTGTACATGAGCAATTTCGAGTTGTCCGTGAGGGCCATCTTCGCATCATATTCTCTCAAGATCTGAAGGTATCTAGAATAATTCTCTGGTTCAAATATTGATTGTCTTCCAATTTTCTTTAGCCCTACCTATTCATCGAACATGAAAAGTGAAGAAAAAAAGCAATCAGCAGTGTGCTAATGCGTATCTAATCTTGAATTTGCTTCTTTCTAGATACTGTCTTGGGAGTTTTGTGCTCGGCGTCATGAAGAGCTTCTTCTTCGCAGACTTATTGCTCCACAGGTCGTATTCTAGTGGCATGGCTCTTACATTAGTTATTAAATTCTTAATAGACGTTTGTGGTCAGCTGTATAAATCTAGACCCTTGATTATCAAAATTGAGGATAGTTAATACTATCCTGTTTCCCTAAACAATTTGTATAAGTGTTTTTCTTGTTTTCTATCAATTAGAGCACATAGGAATTTTACTTCAGAACAGACATGCTGCAATGGTGTTGGGAAGTGTATTGAAAAGTTATTATTGGTCAAGCAGGTGAACCAGTTGCTTCAGGTTGCACAGAAATGCCAGAGCACGATTTCAGAGAGTGGGTCAAAGGGAGTTTCTCAGCAGGATTTACAGTCAAACAGTAACATGTTAGTTGATCCATAACACTTAATTTACCTTTCTATATCCAATATGGACGATGCAGACTATTCTTTTACTGGCCATGTTCTGCAATTTTTTCCTAGTGCTCTAATCATTTCCGGGTGCTAATTTGTGTCAGGGTCTTGGGAGCAGGACGGCAGCTAGCAAAGTTTATGGAATTACAGTCGCTGAATGATCTTGGCTATCCAAAAAGATATATCAGAACTCTACAGGTATTCATTAGCTCTTTTCCTAGCTGTTACCTTTGGTATATGTAGTTTTAAGAAGTCCTGATAGTGTAACTTATTGCGAGTGACAGATATCAGAAGTTGTCAAGAGCATGAAGGATCTGATGAATTTCACTGCCGATCACAAAATTGGCCCTATTGGTAAGTCTAGGATTCCCCTCTACAACATTCTTCTTGAATGAGACCAAAAAAAAAAAGGTCTCTGGTATAATTTTCACTCGAAGTATACTGATTTCTTTAACTCTCCGGTTGAAAGGCTCTGTTTGAAATCTGATTATTGAGTTTCTGACTGCTGATATCCCTTATGCAGAGGGGTTGAAACAGCTTCTGGAACAGACGGCGACCGTGAAGCTCCAGAGACAGAAAATGCAAGAGCTGGAGCAGTTTGGAAATACTGGAGCTATGAGTGGCCCAGCTCAAGCTCAAATGGCCTTGTCTTCAGGAACGATGAACGGCTCAACTGCCAACAACTCCAATAATCACCATCAAATTGTTGGTCGTGGAGCTATGAATGGCTCAGCTCAGGCTGCAGCAGCTCTGACCAATTACCAAAGTATGCTTATGAGGCAAAATGGTATGAATAACCAAAACTCAAATACGGGCAAACAAGAGGGGTTCTCAAGTCAGAAACCAACCCCGAACCCAAACCAGAGTCCATCTTCTTCGTCTCAGCAGAGTCAGAACTTAGCTACTGGTGCATTTCCCAGCTCTCCTCAAATGGAACAGCAGCAGCACACCATGAATGGCGGTCCCAACATGCTTCCGCAGAATCATCCTCATCATTTGCAATCACCACATTCACATGGTAACAATCAGGAACAGCAGATGCTTCAGCAGCTGTTGCAGGAGATGTCTGAAAAGGGAGCGAGTGTGCAACAGCAACAAGCCTTTTCAGGTCAAAGTGGTAGCAACAGTAACACAGAGAGAAACACAACTGCCTCTAATCCCAACATCTCAGGAGGAGGTCGAGTTCCAAGCCGCAATAAGAGTTCCAAAGCAGCCTCAAACAACAACCTTCATTCAGAAGATATATCACTTCCAGAAATATCTCATGATTTCTCAGAAGATGGCTTCTTCAACAACAACGATATCTATGGTGGCTTGTAATATCCAAACAGAAACAGATGCATAGGTACTTTGACTAACACAGTGAAAGAGAGTTTAGGCTTCTTTTTCTCATTTAGGTTGGTTTGGTCTTTGTATAGAAAGTTAGAAACCAAAGAGATATGAGACCAACGAAGGAATCTGTGATTTATTGTAAGCTACATCTCCATAGGCACTTTAGCTTTTCTCTGTTTAGTGATAGTGAGATGAAATCTTAGATTATGTTACATTTTTTTTTTTGTCACAAACGTAAACCCGTTTCTTCAAGTTGAAGAGCAAGTCTACAAAATACAATCGACAATGATTTGATTGATAGCATATACGATGGAATGGACATAAGTGGAACTGTGGAAGACATCCTTCTAGAAAAGGCTCACAAGTAGAGTTATAAGTTGAGTTTTTTTCCATATAACTTCTTAGCCTCTTCAAGATGATGACTCTTATCGGCCCATATGGAACCAAATCTCACTTTAGTACCAAAAATAAATCTTATTTGGATCAACAAATTAGACTCTTAAGTTTCATGACTTCCAACTCAAATCAATTAACAAATGAAATGTATTGAAAACCATGTCACGTATATATTTCTAACTTCCGATCTGGGACCAGAACATGCCCTTTAAGACGATGGCTTTCATGGCCTAGATCGGGAGTTAGAAGCTTTTAATGTCCTAAACCGTGAGATATAAGATATCTAAAATGCAAGAGATGGATCTTTCATTTCATCTCTACATAATTGCATCTTCATTCCTTTAGTTCATACTCAACCCCTTTCTGTTCATTTCATTCATTTTCTGTGTTACTGTTGTTCAGTCTTGTAATGATCAGAAGTCGAGACCATTGTATTATTACTATTTACAAACTGTAAAAGGAGCAACTCAAGAATTCGTTCTGTAAACAAACTGTTATCTAAGTAAAAGCATTGAAAAGATTAAAATCACTTGAGATTGTTTGTAGAAATAATCTTAAGATTACATCTTACCATCTCTAAAAGGGTAACAATGAAGATGCTAAAAGTTCCTATAGATAAGTTACAACAAATCACAAATTCCTTCGTTGGCCTCATATCTCTTTGGTTTCTATACAAAGACCAACCTAAATGAGAAAAATAAGCCCTAAATTCTCTTTTCACTGTGTTAAGTCAAAGTAACAATGCCTCTCTTTTTTCGGGATATTACAAGCCACCATAGATATCGTTGTTGTTGAAGAAGCCATCTTCTGAGAAATCATGAGATATTTCTGGAAGTGATATATCTTCTGAATGAAGGTTGTTGTTTGAGGCTGCTTTGAAACTGTTATTGCGGCTTGGAACTCGACCTCCTCCTGAGACGTTGGAAGTTGATGCAGTTGTGTTTCTCTCTGCGTTATTGTTGCTACCACTTTGACCTGAAATGGCTTGTTGCTGTTGCACACTCGATCCATTTTCAGACATCTCCTGCAACAGCTGCTGAAGCATCTGCTGTTCCTGATTGTTACCATGTGAATGTGGTGATTGCAAATGATGAGGATGATTCTGCGGAAGCATGTTGGGACCACCATTCATTGTGCGCTGCTGCTGTTGCAATTGAGGCGAGCTGGGAAATCCACCGGTAGCTAGGTTCTGCCTCTGATGGGACGACGAAGATGGACTCTGGTTTGAATTCGGGGTTGGGTTCTGACTCGAGAACCCCTCTTGTTTGCCCGTATTTGAGTTTTGGTTATTCATAGCATTTTGCCTCATAAGCATGCTTTGGTAATTGGTCAACGCTGCTGCGGCTTGAGCTGAGCCATTCATAGCTCCACGACCAACAATTTGATGATGATTATTGGCGTTGTTGTTGGCAATTGAGCCGCTCATCGTTCCTGAAGATAACGCCATTTGAGCTTGAGCTGGCCCACTCATAGCTCCACCACTAGCAATTTGATGGTGACTATTGGAATTGTTGCCAGTTGAGCCATTCACCATTCCTGAAGTTAACGCCATTTGAGCTTGGGCTGGGACATTCATAGATCCACTGTTCCCATACTGCTCCATCTCTTGCATTTTCTGTCTCTGGAGCTTCACTGTCACCGTCTGTTCCAAAAGCCGTTTCAACCCCTCTGCATAAATGACATAAGCAGGAATCATAACATTCACATTCAGTCAGAAAATCAAACAGAACATTTTTCACCAAGAGAGTTAAAAAAATCAGTACATATGTCAAGTGAAAGATGCACCAGCGGGACAACCTGGTTTTAAATCTCATTCAAGAAGAATATAATTGTAGACTTACCAATAGGGCCGATTTTTTGCTCGCCAGTGAAATTCATCAGATCCTTCATGCTCTTGACAACTTCAGATATCTGTCACTCGCAATGGCTCAATATTAGGACTTACTAGGAGTAATTAGGACTTCTTAAGACAACGGATACAAAGGTAACAACAGCTAACGAAGGAGCTAATGAGTACCTGTAGAGTTCGAATATATCTTTTTGGATAGCCAAGATCATTCAGCGACTGTAACTCCATGAACTTTGCCAGTTGTCGTCCTGCCCCCAAGACCCTGATACACAAATTAGCACCCAACAATGATAAAGAGCACCAGAACAAATGCCTGACCACCGACAATAAAAAAATTGTCTGCATCTACCAAATCGGATGCAAAAAGTAAAACAAGTATCAACTTACATGTTACTATTTGATTGTAAATCCTGCTGAGAAACTCCCTCTGATCCACTCTCTGAGATCGTGCTCTGGCATTTTTGTGCAACCTGAAGCAACTGGTTCACCTGCATGACCAATAATAAGGTTTTAGTACACTTCTTAACACCGTTGCACTATCTGCAAACATCTGTTCTGGAGTAAAATTACAGATTTGTACTCTAATTCATTGGAAACCAGAAGACGCACATACACAAAAAATTTAGGGAAACCGGTATAAGCTCTTCACAATTTTCTAACAAGGATTTAAGGAAACAAAGTCATATAGTTGACGAAAACATTTTTTTGTTAATTCTTAAGTTCCTAATAATTTACGCAAGGGTCATGCCACTAGAATAAGACCTGCGGAGCAATAAGTCTGCGAAGAAGAAGCTCTTCGTGACGCCGAGCACAAAACTCCCAAGACAGTATCTAGAAAGAAGCAAAAGATTAGCACACTGCTGATTGATTTTTTTTTTTTCGCTTTTAACAATTTCGGACCAGAAAGTTGTTCTAGATACCTTCAAATCTTGAGAGAATATGATGCGAAGATGGCCCTCACGGACAACACGAAACTGCTCGTGTACAGTTTCCTGAACTGCTTTTCTATATTCTAACATCATCAATCCATTGGGAAATCTGTTTTCTCGAGGATGATCCAGATATAAGAGCTCATCAATTATACCACTTGCAAATTTGATTTCAATAAGCCTGGCAAGTACATCAAACGTTGCCTCTGCGGATTAACACGAGAAGCGACAGTTAGCTGCTATTTTGATTAAATAGTTTTAAAACAATTATCATAGTTTTAAACAATGAAAAGAGAGCAATTAGCATGTGTAAATTGCTTCATTGTGCTCAACTGAAGGCACAGAAATACAAGTACACACAAGAATAAAATTTACAACTCTCTTACCAAATCCCTTTCCAGACTTGGTGCCGCAAAGATCACACTGCCACATATCCTGCAAACACAATGAGAAGATGATGGACTTTAAACCTATCTGTTTCATAAAAAGAATTGGTGGAGTAATATATACAGAACACCAATATCATAAAAGATTCGAAACACACAGAGCAAAGAAGAAACTGACCGGAGCTGCCTGTGGAAACATGCCAAGCGCATGGTGCCCAGCACTTTCGTACTGTGACAAGCACAACCTTTGCTTTGCACGAGGTGAAAAGTACTCTGCCACAAATTTCCTCCAATAGGTAATGCAATTTTCCTACAAAAAAAGGGTATCAGTAATAAGAGGACTTGAACAGATGTGATGAAATTGCAAAAAGTCCACAGATTAGTATTAGCTTACAGCAGGTCGTTGCTGAAGATGATACAAGTACATCATCAATTTTCGAGCACAGACGCCAACTTCATAAGGACGTACATTAGGAGGAATCTGTTGGGTTCCTTGTTGCTGTAAATGCTGTCTCAATTGCTGTTGTTGCTGAAACTGGAGTCTCTGAGAGGGCGACATGGATTGAAGCAACTGCTGATGTTGCCTCAGTCTCTGCTGCTGAAGCAAAGCTTGCAACTGCGGATTCCTCCCGGTGGGGTCCTGACGCTGGATCAACTGCTGTAAAATCTGCTGCTGCAAGATGTCCTCTTGCTTCACTTCTAATCTGGGTTTCTTATCGACATGGGAATAGTTGTTCTCCCTCATAGGAACTGAACCTTGCCCAGCTTGCTGCGGTAGTTGGTGCTGCTGCTGCTGAGGTAAGTGTTGCATAGAAGCAGACCCATCAAGGACCAATGAACCAGGCATGCTAACGCTACTCGAGGAGAAAGACATTGGTGATGTTGGGATACGCATATTATTATTGATGCCACTGCTCCTCTGCATATTTAGAGCTTCCGAACCAACAGCATCAGTCAATGAGAAACTCGATTCGACAGCTCCTGAGACTGCCGTTCTGTTCATGCCCCAGGAGAGCAAGCAAACAAAGACCAAGTCGTCCAAATACAAGTACAGATACAGATTCTCAGAGAAATGAAAGCTTGAATCTTTAAAACCGGCCCACTCAGAATCTGAGCCAACAACAAAGCCAAACGGATCCCAAGCAGCTATGCTCTATTATCACCGAGCAAAGTAAGATAATTGAGGATCCAATAATTACGAAAGATTCAGCTGATTCAGTAGTCAAAATCTGAAAGAGATGGAAACCAAATCAGGGACTTTAGATAAACAAATCCAACACAAGGGTAAGACAATAATCAAAAAGCCCTAATTATCAGAAGAGCAAATTCAGCATCTCACAAAAAGGATACAAGTCTCTTACCACCAACAACAGCAAGACTAAAACTTCAAATCCAATCGGGCAACTCAAATCAAAACCCAGAAACTGTCAACGAGAAAGACTTGGACTTGCACAAATCCTCAAACAAGAACTGAATAAACCCAGTAGAGAGGGAGAGAACACAAGAGAATTAACACTTTACTGCACCATTCAAGAAGGAACAAAATATCGGCAAAACCTGGAAAAAATGAAATAAAAAGAAAAAGAAAAAGAAAGAGATTTTTATTTGGACTTCACAAAAAAATATTTAACCAAATCTAACTCAACCCCAATACAAAAAAAAAAAAAAAAAAAAAAGTATGCAGTAGTCAAATAAATACTAACCCCGAAATTGATAAAACTTGAAGAAGAAAAAAATCAAATCACAATTCACACAAATTAAGTCCCAGTTGCAGAAAACTAAAAAAAAAAAATTAAAATCTTGATTATTAATTATAAAAGGCCCAATATAAAAAATAGCTCAAAATATTTGACCCAAAAAAAAAACTCTAAACATAGTAGTAGAACCGGTAATAACCGACTATACCGGTCAACTAGCTAAAGCGTCACCGACCTCGTGGATCAAATGACACCGACACGTGCTGATGTGCTAATAGATCTCGTGGTTGGAGTGGGACAATACATTCGTGTTATCATCTGAATCGTTCGATCAGATTCAAGTCTCGTACCACAAAGCCTTAAATTTTTATGATTTTTTTAATGATAATTTTATGATTTTTCTCTATTGGTAAATTTTTTTTATCAACTGTTTCCTACAATTATAAGGCATTTATATAGAGGTCTTTATATATTATTTAATTTTTCCATACCATAAAAGAAAATAAAAATTTAATTAGATTGATAACTATCATAAAAAATATATGTCCTTACCAAAAAAAAAAAAATCATAAAAGATATATATCATATCTTCCCAATATTTAACAAATTAACCGGATCAATTAACATTACTTGTTAGTGTGTCAGTGGTGGATTTTTGTTTTAACTTTTCACTGTCTATATATATATATATATACATATAGTTGGAAAAATATGTAAGATAAAGGGATGATGAATGGTGCCATTAATTAAAATTGTAATTGTGTATCTTTTTTTGCTTTTTTTTTTTAACGCATGTAATTAAATATCTTTAGATAAGTTCTTTATCTCTTTTACTATTAATTAGAAAGCTTAGTAATGTCATTAATTATGATTGAAGATGCTACAATAAGATCGTGTGTGCCTTGGCCTTTCTCTTCCCCTCATCTGTGACTATAAAACTATGCTTTTTAGACATAACAACTAGAGAGAAGATTAAGACCAAACCCAAATTATTGAAAAGAACAAGAAGACTACCAGATCTTGTTTCCACAGGTACGTACGACGTACACTTTTGAACAATATTCCGATCGATCATATAGTGAAAGAATCGTGTTTGGTTCTTTTATAAGACAATTGTTTTATCACTCTAGATGATTTTCATACGTTCAGTGCCCGTCAAATCCACAGCTTTTTTTGTTCTTTCTCGACGACCGTAGTAATCTTCATTTTCATGTCATGTCATAGATCATTGTAGTGAAAGAGATAAAATTTTACGTTATCTAAATGTAAATCATACACAATTGCTTTGAGTATATTATGTTTATTTTTCTAAAAATATTGATCTCAGAATAAAAAAGTTAAATTTTTATTGTAAAATAACCGTTGTTTTATTAAATTTGGTACGGCGTATATTTACTTATTTATGGGCCGCAATCCATATATTTGTTTACTGGGAATCCACGCATAATAGTTATTATTCTCTTCAATATTCATGAAAGAACATAAACGCCGTTTTCAGGATTCTTACTTTTCGTTTTGCCACCCGTCGAAGCATTACTTGGTTGTTCTAGATTGTTTTTAGCTTCGAATTAGTTAATTAATGTTGCCTTTTTGTATTTGATTCTTTAGATTTGTGTTACAACATAGAACCAAAATCAGATTAGTGCTGTTTTTCCTTTCTGGACTAAAATCAGATCTTTATAGATTTGGTTTAGAGGAAGATTATGGTTCCTGATTTGTTTGTTTTCCGCATATTTATGAAGTGTTCACTCAAATCTTTTTAAAAAACATCCCAAAATTTTGGATCCTCTTTGTTTTATTAATGATTGTCATTTTGTTTAATTATACATCTCCACTTGAATTTTATTTCGTTTGTATCTCTTTTCCGATTTATAAGCTACGGTCTCTTTTCGAATTTCATGTTGATCGTGTTTCTCTCTTTTGAGTTACTGTAAATTTGTAATTGTCAAAGTTTAGAATAGATTGTAAATTATTTTTAGTTTGTAAAACATGTTTAACATTTGTAGTTTTAATCTTTAACATTAAAAATAAAACTTTTAGCTCTCTTTTGTTTGGTGGATCAATGTCTGAAACTTTATGAAAAACAAGAGTTGATCACACAAGTCAGTAGTCATTATACGTCCATAGAGCTATATACCCGGAAAGTACTTCTTATTTTATCGAGTGTTAACAATATATCTATATATGCAGTGTATCTGCAGGTTGTTGCAAAGAGAGAAAATGGATGGACAAGGTGATTTTAATGAGTTTGGAAACATTTTCAAAACAATTCTGGGAAGTACTGAAGATGAAGAGAGTAATATCATTGATGCTATGAATTGTGACAATGATGGCGATGATGGTGGAAGGATGAGGAGAAGCTTTAGGCACACTGCTTTTCAGATTCAAGAACTTGAAACGTTTGTTTAATTAGTTTCTTCTTCATTTATTTATCATGCAAGCATTCCTATTATAGTAATGCTTTGATTATGAGTTGGAAGGTTTCTCTTTTACTTTGTTTTTTTTTTCTCTTCTTTTCTTTGCTGAGTGTAGTTTCTACGAGGGCAATCCTCTACCTACTTCGGATCAGAGGAACGAACTTGGTCAAAGACTAAATTTGGAGGCTAGGCAAGTCAAGTTTTGGTTTCAGAACAAGAGAAGCCAAGAGAAGGTACAAAAATGGTGGCGTCTTTCTTATTCTTTGCACTGTATATATTATGGACCAAGTTGCTGCACTAGAAGTCTAGAATAGATATATAGTTGATCACCTCTCAGTCATTCTCAAAATATGCTTTGATTATGGTATAGGATTGAGCTGAGAGTTGTGTTCTTTTATGTAATCAGGTGAATAAGGAGTGCCTTGAGAATATATGTCTCATAGAAAATAATGAAAGATTGCTAGAAGCTCAGGATGAGCTTAGAATGCTACAAATATCCAACTATGGAGACGTCGACTACAAGGTACAAAAACATATCGTTGAATTTAGTAAACTGAAACAAGAGAGATAGACCCATATATATATTCTAACTTCCCTTTCAATCCCCTTCAAGTGTAGGCTACTGCACCCGAGCAGCTCCCGTCATCTTCCTCTAATCCAATAAGAAACGCAACACCACAGCTAGATTCGGGTCGTGGATATATAAGTGCGAAGAAGGATGAAGCAAAGCTTCTTGAACTAGCCAATACAGCTATGGATGAGTTGAAAGCGTTGGGAGAAAGAAACTGTCCGTTTTGGACTCTCGACCTACGCAACGATATTGTAGGACCTCCCGGGTGTGCTGCGGAGTCTTCAAGATGTATAGGTTTAGTTCGCATGGGTAGCTCGACTCTGGTCAAGACTCTTATGGACACGGTAATAACCCATTTTATGTTTTCTAGATATGTTGCATAATTTTAATAATTTCTAACTTTTGAGTTTTCTTTTAATTTTTTGTTTCTTTCTAATAGGGCAAATGGGTCGACGTGTTTGCATCTATTGTGCATGTGGCATCAGCACAAAAACTGATACGTCCCACTTATAGTGGGGCCAGAAGTGGCTCACTCCAACAGGTATATCATAAGTTTCCGAGTCGTCTATAATCGTTTCAAAATCCAAGAAACACTTACTTTTCAAAATTTTTGATTTTATGTTTTGGCAGATACAAGCAGAATTTCAAGTCATGTCTCCGCTGGTACCAAAGAGACAAGTAACGTTTCTTAGATACTGCAAAGATCTCGGAGACGGCTCATGGGTGGTCGTCGACGTTACTGATCCTGCTGAATATCCGACTTTCTTTCCCTATGGTGCGTCTAATAGGCTACCCTCAGGCCTTATCATACGGGACATGGCCAATGGCTACTCCGAGGTTCCTATTTTTCTAACCCTGATGTCTGTTTTACTCTTGGTTGTCGCATGAGATCTTAACTCACAAACATGTTACTACTCTCAATCATAACTGATGTTCTATCAAAATCTTGTATGGTGGAGGCATAGAAACATTAGCGAATGGTGATTATAATATTCATTTCGAAGGATTACATGTAAATGAAGTAAAGAGTTTTGATTTCGTAGGTTACATGGATTGAACAAGCTGAATATAATAAGAATCACATCCACCAGCTCTACCAGCCTTTGATTGCATCTGGGATCGGGCTAGGCGCAAAGAGATGGCTCACCACGCTGCAGAGATACTGTGAAAGCCTCTCGACCCTTTCGGCTACCAACATGGGAGAAATTATCCCAGGTGACTCTAATTTAAAACACTCTACTGAATGTTGCAACTAAAAAAACACTCTACACATCTCATCAATGAATTTTCGGGTGATCTCCACACTCTTTTGGACCGGTCTTGATTGTGATGTGTGTGTTTCTATTTAGGAATGTCTGCAAAAGGTGCAAATGAATTAATGAAGCTAACAAAGCGAATGACTCGCAACTACTACACAGGTATGACCAGTTCTACGGTGGGCAAGTGGGAGATGATTGAGGTAGAGAATGTGGCACAAAACATGAGATTCATGACCCGGAAAAGCTTGAATGAGCCTGGTGAGTATACAGGGATTGTGCTGAGTGCAGCCATTTCTGTTTGGTTTCCAGTGAACCAGCGAACACTCTTTGCTTTCCTTAACCACCTTGGTTCCAGACACGAGTGGGATACTTTGACCCTTACTTCCATGGAAGAAATATTCCGGATTCAAAAAGCAAATCGCCATGAGAACACAATCTCTCTGCTTAGAGTCATTGTGGGTTTTTAAAACAGAACTTTTTTTTTTTTTGTATGGTTAGTTTGTCTATGTTTCATTGATTGTCGTGAGTTTTGCAAACAGGGGGATGAGAATGATATGCTAGTTTTGCAAGAAGTTTGGAATGACGCATCGGGTGCAGTGTTGGTGTACGCACCTGTGGAAACCAGTTCAATTGAGGCGGTCAATAGAGGTGAAAATTCAAATTATGTGCCGCTCCTACCTTCCGGATTTTCGATTGTGCCAGACGGATCAACTGGTGGAGGATGTCTACTGACTCTTGGACTTCAGATCTTAGCTAGCACTAATCCAACTGCGCAGCTCACCCAAGGTTTTGTCAAAATTGTGGAGGGCCTTATGCTTCACACAATTGACAAGATCAAATCCGCGTTACATAAACAACCATAAACATCAGCGTCTCCAGTTTCTGTTTTTTTTTTTTTCGGTATGAAATTTAACATTGGCTTGTGTCCTAATTTGCTTTTCCAACCAAGACTCCTCCGGATTAAGTTTTTATGTGATGGATACTCTTTCCTTTTTCTTTTCTTCCTTCTTTTTCTGAAAGACTCAAATTGTTACAAAGCAGAATAAATAGACAGTTAGAACTTGTGTTCGATACAGAATAACACCGTAGTGACAAATTGGTTCAGTCTGAGTTTTGAATCAACTGGAGGACGAAGATGACTTCCTCGGCGATATTGAATCTGCATCATTATGAGCTGTTTCTCTATCCAAGCCTTTAACACCGGGAGTTTTTTGTGAGATTGTTGCCTCGGATTTACCTATTTTGGTGCCATCATCCACTTCTGCATCTTCACCATAGAAAGACCCAGAGGATCTCATCTCCTTTACCATTCGAAACTCGTCATAGTGTGCCCGTCTATGTTCTTTGAAACTTTCACTTTTCTCAATAACAGAATCTGCAGTGCACGAAAGCATAGTTGAAGATGTTATCCGGGAACCAAAGAACCTGGTGAAATTACAAGTCAGCTTTGATCTGTTTATTTGGTTTTGTAAATAACCTTCATTTTCATCCATTGGATCTGTGTCATCCTCGGACGAGCTCCAGCCACCAGACTCGGATCTCTGGCTGAAATTTTTACTGGAAGAAGCTACATCATTCAGAACATTCCTTAGTTCTTCTGCACGATGGATTTCATCAACACAGTTGTCAAATGATCTTCCTCTAGGAGACAGAGAACCTGATAAAACCAACCAAGAAATATAAAGAAAACGGATTTTTTTCAGGGATTATCAAGGTAAGCACTAGTTCAGGTCACTCCAACTAGACTGACAACATTTCACTTTAATCAATAAGAAAATAGTTTTTTCCCCAACACAGCAAGCCTACGGGTGAACAAAACATACTTTAGTTTATGTTTGGGTTATTTATCTTTCTCTGTATAGATGGTGGTCACTATTTTGTGTTTACTGTAAGCAGTACGGCAGAAGCATATATATAGGCAAAACTTATAAAAAAAATCCAAAACAGAGAAACGGACAAACCATCATCATCAATCATTGGGTGATATGGTGTCTTTGGTTCGGTAATCTTCTGTCTTACAGGTTTGTTGGATTCAATTTCCACTATATTAGCTTCATCCCATTGAACACGTCCCCTGCCATAAAAATGAATATACTCACAAAGAATATAGGTGTTGCTAATAGCTGAAAATAAATACAATGTGTTGCCGCCTGAACTATATATAGTAAACATCCTGAGATAAACTAAACTTGATAACCTAAATGCCATTTCCATTGTTCAGAAGTCAATACATGAACCTTAAACCAAGAAAAAAAGTGAAAGATTCACACTCTTATTATACATAAGATCTCTCTCTCTTCCACTTTTCATTTCCTCGAAGTAGCGCAGAGAGAGAGAAACATAGAGATTTGTTTCATGCTTCTTTCAAGGGTACAGTCATAGACGGGTTTAGAACTTGATATCGGTGAAAATTCATCTCTCCGGAAAAAAATCACAGATAATATATGTCTTATTCAATATGCAGATCATGCTTTTACTCAACCAGGTGACAAAAGAATTCTAAGAAAGAGTCTTAACTCTTAAGTACTAGACACAAGTTGAAAGGAAACTGAGAGAAGGAGAAACATACTTCATCTTAGCTGATAACACACTCTTTCCCAGGAAAATATTATAGTTCACCTGACTGCAACAAGTAGAGAAGAATTTGCTTATCTTCTGAACATAAAATTACAGGGAAGTCTATGCAACAGCTCAAACCATAAATGTTGAAAAAACGAAATTGTGAAAGAAATTACATTATGGATATGGGAAATGACAACAATATGAAGAAGCATAACTAAAATTCTGAACCTAAAATGGATAGATTATGTGTCTGGATCATCCATGGATTTGTTCAAGCATAAGCAAAACAAAGTCGTTGATAGTAATAATTAACGAGAACCTCAAAGACACTACAGCCAAAACACAACTTATCCGGTTCCTACATCCTCCTTCATTGACAATCAAAACACAAGATACATTTAGTCCTTGAAACGACAAAATACTAATCCTAGACAGATATTGAAAAATCCAACCAAAATCTATACACACGGAACATACTCGCCATCAACACTAATAATCGCAACTGGTTTCGATCTACAACTTCGATATTATTAAAACAAAAGTCTAAGATGCGAACATCGGAACGAAATATTTGCCTTACCTCTATGAATCAGATTCTTCTCTTCTCCCTTCCAAATTTTGTTTCTCCTCGACCTGATTCTTCTACCTTGCTGAAAATGGAATATTTCTTGTGGCGAAAAGAATCTCATATTTACCCCCGCGCTCAAAGAAGGCGTACTATGGACACAAGCTCCATAGCCGTCCGTGCATTTGACTTTGACCATAATACATTCTAACTTTAGCCACGTGGGATATTACAATCCGTTAGATTCGAAAAACCATGTTAAACTGAGTTTCGTACGCGTTCTCTATAGTAAGGGTAGTTCTGGAAATTTTCTTAACTTGCAAATACTAAATACTTGTATTTTAGCCTGGACATGATCATAATTCAAAACCTTGCAGTTGATAATTGTTAGATTAAATAACGATGTAGCGTCCTTAGTTTGATTTTGCCAAACTTGCTAGTGATTCTTCTGCAATCTTCCACGCAAGGTTCAAATACTCGAATGATCTGGAAGGGTCCTCCTCTCCAGAGAGAGCCAATTTTAAGTCTGCAAAGAAGCCATCTAAACCAGAAATAGATCCTTCTAAGCTTGTGGAATCTTCAGGGTCACCATGTACTGTATCTTCTTCATGATTCTTTGGTTCTTTGAGTGATTCCATGCGTGTGCTTTTCTCTCTTGCACGTACCTCAGCTTCCAATTTTGCAGCCATGGTAATAGCTCGACGTATACACGATGAAGGTATCTACAGTCAAGTATAGATGTGAGATCAGCTTCATGAGTGGACCAGCAATAGCCATATTTCAGTCACTAACGCGTTTATGAGTTTACCTGGGCAAGCTGAGCGACCTTAAAACCAAAGCTCCTGCTGCAGAGACCACGCACAAGTTTATATAGGTAGGTCACATCATCATGATCAAAACCGCTTTTATCCTTCTGTGATGTCATATATGAGACGTGGTATGTCCCAACAGCACCTGGGAATCCGTTACTAATCTCAGCTATTTCAGGGTAATGCGTGACAAAAAGAACCAAACATCTCTTCTCTGTTAGGAGATGTTGTAATGTTGCATAGGCAATGGCTACACCGTCGTGTGTGCTAGTGCCTCTTCCAAGCTCATCTAATATAACAAGCGAACGAGAAGAGCAGGTTCTGATTATGTGTGATGCTTCACTTAATTCTTCTAAGAAGGTACTTCGGCCATGCTGGATACTGTCTGAAGCACCCATCCTAGTGAAAACACCATCAAGAACGTGCAGCTTAGCGAATGAAGCTGGTACGAAGGAACCAACCTGGGAAACCAAAAGGGAACAATTAAAATAATTTAGCATTAAACATACCTAAGAGATTTCGGTAAAGCATAAGCTTATACTGTTAGTCTCTATGTTACCTGAGCCATTATGGAAATCAAAGCAACTTGACGGATATAACAGCTCTTTCCTCCCATGTTAGGTCCGGTGATAATTTGGCAGTATTCCCCTTCTGCATGCAAATTTGTATCGTTTGGGACGAAATTATCTTGTAATATAGTCTCCAATACCTGGGAAATTTTCAAAACGAAATTATAGATACATTACCAACTTAATTAGACATAGAAAGAAAAAGAAAAGGAAGTGAGAGCAGATGCATACAGGATGACGACCAGACTGTATGTTTATCTCAACTGGTTCACAGTCATCCACAAACACGGGACAGACATACTTCTGCAGAAGAAACTTTTTGAGTGACGTTAAGAATTATAAAGCAGTGACTACATGTACATATTTTGTAGTTTTGTTCCTTCGACCTTGTTTCTAGATAGAGTTGCAAGAGAGTGCAAACAGTCCAGTGCAGCAAGAGCTTGAACGGCAGCCTGAAAATCTGTATAGTATCTACTGAAACTCTTGAGAAAGCTATCCCACGAAGCTTGGTTCACAATGGCAAGATGTTCAGTTGCTAGAGCTAGCTCATCCAACCCAGCTACTACTTCTGGGGGATGATATCGAATAGTCTTTTTGGTGCTATTTACTCTCACCCAATTCATAGGGACCTTGGCATCAACGGGCAGCTGTACAAAGCTTAACTTCAGATCAGAAATAAAGGTCCACAACTTTCAAAGATGAGAGTATTATACACAGAAATGTTTTACTTTGGTTACAAAAGAAAAATTTAAGGTGCTATAGCTGTGAATGTTTTAATGGAAATGTCATATGTGCAGGAGAAAGAAAGTGAGAACAGTAACCACAAAAAGAAACCAACACAAGCTACCTTCTTGAAATTTATTCTTATCCTGAAACGTGACGATACTTCTGTGATTCCTTTTAGGTGGAATTTAGAAACGAATCAAGAAAGCTGCATTTTTGCAGTAAGCAAGCATTAAAAGTTCACAAGTTTCTCGAGGAAGTACCTCTATCAAATGTGTGATCCCAGACACTTGAAGAAATTCCAAACTTCGAATTGCAAGCTTCTTGCGAAATGAAGCTATTAAGGAATCCAGTTTTTCCTTGACGATTAAAACTGCTTGGCGAGCTTCAGCAAGCTGTGCATAGCAAATAACACAACTGAATTATGGAACACAACATCGCCACTAAATAATTGATTCATTGAAAAAGCAAAACAAGATTAAGGATAAAAAGCTGTGTGATGCATAAAACATAACAATAAGAGGAAAAAAATAGTATCAATGTCCAAAGAAGATACAAACCTCAGGAAATTGGCCGCTGGACGTGATTAGTATGTCAAGCAAGTCTCCTCGAACAGCCCCTTCCTTATTCAGGGAAGAGAGAAGTTTTGCGGCATTGTCAACCACAGTAACGGATGAAACAACAGATATCAATTTTCTCAAAAGAGAAGACTGCACAGATGTGGATTGCATACTCATTTCACAGTCTTGCTTTAAGCCAAGCCGTTTAAGATGCTTCCCCGCAAGTAAAATAGCTTCCATAACTGCAATGAACTTTTCATCAAGAAAGTTAAGACCCTCAGGCCTCAGGTAAGGAAGAGGATAAGCAAGAGCTAGTTAACAAAAAAAATATGGAAGTGAAGCAAAACGCATATAATTCTTCAATAACTAAGAATTGGCGCGATGAAGTGTATAGCTTTCCATATGACTATGTCTATAAAACAAGAACAATATCTAACGGTAGCTTTAGCCTTATATTACAAAGCAAATATTTCTTTGACTAGATATCGGAACGGGACCAACACTCTGTATTATTTGCCAGTTCACTTCAGATGGACTTTTTATGATTAGTCTTGGTTAGTCAACATAAATGGTGGTGTATTAAACTATTTCTGTGGAAAAAATGGTTAAAGTATTTCACTATTTGAATTTAACTAACTTCAGTAAACACAAGCACGTATATAAGAGGGCAAAGGACAGGCCAAGTTTCACCTCTGATGCTTTAGCAGTCCGATGAAAGATTCTTGTAATTCCACGTTGAATATCAGATGATCTAGACAAAGTTGTCAAGACTGAGGAGAGGACGAGATAAAACTCAGATGATTCCATTGTTCTCTCAGAACCTTCTTCAACCAACTCATCACTGTTCTGGGAAGAACTATGAGATCCCATGCATGCAGCAATCTCAGACACCGCATCAAGGCGGGCAGATATGACATTTCTATTGCAAAGAGGATGAGTCACCTGTTGAAATGAAAGTGCCCACAAATCATGATAAGAGGTCTTTCTAATTAATATCCCTACCACTTAGAAGAAACTCCATGAAGACTCTGAGGGGGTAAGTAATGAAATCTATGTCTCTTTCAAGAACTGAAAGATGCCAGTAAATTCCTTTTTCTTTATAAGACGACAATGTGGTACACCCACAATGACTTACAACATCTTTCGAACCCCAAAAATTTGAAAGAAGACCAAACGTACATAGCTCTTATGCAGAAATCTAAGAAGCAAATAAATTGCGTCTTACCCAGTGTCTAAGAAGCCTGGAACCATATACTGTTAGAGTGTGATTCATATTATGGAATAAGGTGCCAGATTCCGATCCATCTGAATTATTTCTCACAACCTGAAAATAGATACAATTTAATATACAGGAAACTCAGTTAGGACACTTCAATATGACTGAAAATTTAATATTGACTGAACATGAGACACGCTAAGTTACGCGGAAAATACCTCCAACTGTTGCAGTGTATTGGCTGAGAGAGTCATTTCTGTGCTGCTTGACAAAGTGCGAAATGAAGCCCCCTGGTAAAGGATCCTTTCAAATCCAAATTGTTTGAGATGGCAAAATGTCAGGGCGAGGGCTTGAATAGTCAAATGTGGCATGTTCATAATTGTCTGCACCGTCAACAAAGGAACAAGTTAGCAGGAATTGAAGCAAGCAATTAATAAAAGAAAAAACTCTTTTCGAAAGCTAGATGTATTTTTTAACAATTTCATTTTAGCAGAGGATCATCAATAAAAATAAAGAGAAAGCTTTTAGAAAATCAAATGCTGTACGTGAACTGTCAAACATGACATTCCTTCTTCAGCAGCCTCCACCTTGACTTCTTTGTCATCTACTAGGTTGCTTGCGCTGATTTTTTCACATAATGAAATAACCTCATCTACTGCACTACCACTGCGGAAACGATCCAGCGAGGCCCGTTCCACTCGAATATTTGAGGTAGGTCCAGCGTGTGCCAACAAAAACTGCCAAAAAAAGATACCAAACGATATCGCAACATGTATGCACATAAGCCAAGAACAGAAATTAAAATCTTATAGACTAATCTATATAGTGATTATAAATACAGACATATTCTTAAGTCAAACAGTTCATCAAGAATGATTTAGCGCAAGATAACTCTAGACAGAATCTGGGAAAACAGATTGAGTAACAATGCTTAAATTAGTAACGATTACTCGTAAAGAGATAAAATGCACCTTCTCAGTTTGTTGTGAAAGAGGCTGACCAAGCAACAACTCAGCTGGTAACAAGCTCAAAATCACAGCCTCTAACCCACTCCTCATGGAATTATCATTAAACTCTCCATAAACAACTTCACCAGTTGAAATTTCAACGCCAACAATCCCAACTCTAACATCAAAACTCATTTCCAGACCACAACCAATAGTCTCCGGGCTAACAGTCTCATCCACAACACAAACCAAGAAAT